GCCGGGTATACAGGAGGTCGTGGGTTCGATACCGACCCTGACGCCTGCTGCTGTATATTTGGAGTTTGCATGTTCCCCCCGTGGTCACGTGGATTTTTATCCAGGTCCTCTGGTTTTTACCTCCACATTTAGAATGAACGTGTATTTAGAGTATTTGGCTGCTATACATTTCCACGTGATAAGCCACTTCATTGAACTGTCATTTGTGGCCAAGTCGCTTCTGAAAAAGAGCTACATAGCTCAGTAGGCCTTCCGTGGGGAAAAATAAAAATACAATTATTTGAATATGTAATATACATCATGGCATTGTGCATAGTCTGCAATAGTTACACATTAGGGGGCGATATTCCTGTGTTTTTCCCAATTAAGTCACTTGAGCTAATTTTCCAACTTTGCCAAATTGACAAATTTGTAAAGGCCACATACTCTGCTTCATCAGTGGCCTAAACGGAGAGAAGATGCCATTAGGTGGTCCCCTCGGCTAAACCCTGCACTGTGAGACGTGTCGTTCCTTTATGGGCAGAATATAAGTGTAAGTATTGCCACTGTTGCGCAACAACGTGATCTGGCGGACCCCATCACCGACCAGTGCCTCGCGTGCCCCGTGCGCAACGTGCGGCTCCACACTGAGGCTGCTCATCTTGCGAGGCATCATGATCTCGCGGAAGGGGCAAAAGGTCCGCTGCGCGCCCCGCACTTTAAAGGGCCCTTGTGTTTGCAGGTGCGTGCCCCGCGTGGCCCCGACAGCCCTCCCCCTTGCAGCCCCCAGCCCCTCTCTCCAGACCCCTGCTCCGCCTGATTAGGGCAACCTCCGGGGCTCCATTTTTCACTCGTGCAAGGCCGTGGCAGCCCCCGTGGCAGACCTCGTGGCAGCCTCCCTGGAAGGTCCCGTGGCAGCCTCCCTGGCAGCCCCCGTGGCAGGCCCCATGGCAGACCAGCGCTTTTCACGCGGGTGGCGACGGAGGCCGCTGGCGGAGGCCTCCCTGCTATCTCCCTCCCGCCTCCTCTCCCGACCTGCGGCGCTCTTGCACCAGGCGGCTGTCGCGGGCAGATGAAGAGGACAAGGGGGGAGAGAGAGAGCGAGAGCAGGGGGCCCCTTTGTAAATCCTCCCACTGGGAGTTAAGGAAAACCACATGAGCAGTGCCCTCAGAAGGAATACTACTTTTTTTTTGGGGGGGGGGGGGGGGGAGTGCGTTGCAGGATTTTGCAGAACGTTACACAAGTGGCTAGAATTTACGAACGTAATCTTGATCTAAATCTGCACGTTATCGATGAACTTTAATATATATCAATTATAACCTTAAGCTAAGCAAATGTTTTCTATCCACAAAAAAAAATGTGCGCGCCAGACTTATCCACTGAATTTGTACTGCAATGCTAGTTATGCGTGCGTGAGGCAGTTAGAAAAAAAATCAACCAGAATCGGTTTAATACACTATGACAATCTTGTAGGGAAACTGTGAAAAACATTAATCGCTAATTAGATGTAATTGACTGGGCTTTTTGACGGACGATCGTGAGAATTCGACAGGCAAAACGCGTTCGTCCTCGCGAGGGGAGGCTCCGGTGAAGCTTGCGTGTCTGCTGGACTCACCGTTGGAATTTTTTCATTAGCTTTGGCAAAAAAAAAAAAAACTTCCCTCTAATCACGGCAGGCTGGACTCGGGGATTCTTTAAGACCTGCAGTTACCACAAAATTTAAGACTGAGAAATTACTTCCTCACGGGATTTTCAAAATTATTGCAGCTGTGCCAAGTGCCAGCAGCATTTCGAACGAGTCAAACCTACGACAACAGCGTTCACACAGGAGTTCTGTTTCTTTGCTGAAGCCCATGAAAAGATGATGGATACGACCTTTCAACAAACATTTATCAAATTCGCCAGAAACATGCAATTAAAAGCAAAACGTTGATTAATGAAGGAATATAAGGCCAATTAAAATAATATTCAAAATACCATCCTTGCCCAGAAGATGTTTTATTATTCACCTCAAGTGCACCGACTTTCGTACAACGCATCGATGATTGGCTTTGGGAAGATCCTGTTTTCCTCGCTGTTCAATTATCACGAAAGCCTCCTGGGATATTTTCGAGTGAGTAAATCCCACAGAACGCCAATACGTCTCACTTTAATCTGTGCCACATCGTTATTCGGAGGATCTTTGACCCTGAGAATGAAATCTGCCACCACCCGTACTCTCTATTAATGCGCTAGGAGCAACAGAGAAGGTAGTTTGCGAATCAGATCCGTCTAAAACTATCTTCGTGTCCATTCCATCTAATGTTTAGATTATAATAAATTCCAGCTTTGTCCTTCAACCGTGCTCATCACACCTTTGATAGGCACGGTTGGCTACGTTACAAAATAAGTTTAACATGCATACATGTAGTACAAATAATAATATAACTATTACTCAGTGCTATCATCACCTACCGTGCTTTAGCCACTGCGGAATGAAGGCTTCTCTCCATGTCATCGCCATAATTTTCGTGACGCAACAATTCTATCCACAAATCCATACGCTGATCACTCAGTCGTCCGTCTCAACCGTGGCCCATTATCTCTCCCCGTGACATGGACAGCCCCAAAACTTTTCTGAACAGTCAAGATGACATCTCAATATTCGTATTTGTTCTCTGATCCATGTGTGCGTTGATCATATAATGGGATTCACGTCAGCAGAGCTCTGGAAAAAAAATCTAAACACATGAATGACACTGTACCTCCAAAATATCAAATGACATAACTATTTCAGTCATAATACCCGACTGGGATATGGCCCATGTTAAATTAAATTAATATAACACATTTGTTTTGGTCGCATCAACAAGGAAGTTAACTTCAAACCGGTTCTTTAAAACGTAATTGAGTAATGAATAAAAGTTTCTCACCTGAAGAGGCTGACATTGCTTTCCTGTGGTGAATGCTCAATTCTGTTAAGCACATTTCTGACAATGGCAAGGCCAGGTCTAATTATGTTACGTTTTGACTCATGCCACGAGACAAATTAGATCAGCAAACTTCCATTTGGACCTCTCACAGTTCACAGTACACTGCCGTGTCAGAGAATGAGTTTGGAAGGTGATGCAACAAGAACTCATTTTGAAGTCCCATAAATATGTTTATCCCCAAAAGGGGCCACACGTGTCATGTGACATGTGCCCCATTCGTAGAGCCAACGTTTTATTTTAAGAACTGGAATGTTAAATTGTGAAATGTGTTGAATTGTATTTGATGTTATTATTTTGTATGTGCAATCATAAGTGGACAGGGGTAAGCCCATTAACTCACTGCACTCTATTGCCTGTGTTCAAACCCAGCATTTCAGCTTGGTTTAAATTAATCGGTAAAACTGGCTCTGGCTTCGTATTTACGCCCCGTGGCACTCTCCCGCTTGTATTTTATTGGTTATTTAATATGTTTTAAGAACCCCGACTGACAACAAAGCACAGAATGTTCCTTCGGTGTGAACCTACGACCAAATCATCCTGAATGCTACGCAATCTCGTCAGCTCTCAGAAGCTAAGCAAAGTCGAGCCTGGTTCGTAAAAAATGTTTTATTCATGGGAGACTACCTCGAAATTCTTGGCCTGCGATGTGGCCAGCAGATGATGGTAAAGCATTTGATACTTTAATCTGTCTATTGCGCACGGTATCTCCAGGCAAGCCAGTTTCCACCCAGAAGCCAAACATTCACACATGGACATTCGCCATAAATGTATTCATCATAAGAGTATTCAATGGAGAGTAGGGGCGTATGATCAGATCAGGTGATATTGTAAACATTACCATTTCTTTATTCCACAGTATAATCATTAATCTACTACTGTAGGCTATTATTGTAAGATTTAAATATTATGAGCCTAAAATGAAATCTATTCCGATCGATTGGATTGAATAACAAAATTGTGATTGATTGTGGAATCATAGATTGGATCCATTTTGTTCAGAATGATACTTTTGATTCAATCATGGCTACACAAAACAATATGTATATAAAACATACACCCCTAATAAACGTGATATATCATAAAGATAGACAAATAACTACCGGGCAGCATGGTGGCACAACGGTAACAGCTCTGCCTCGCAGAAAGGAAGGTCCTGATGTTGATTCCTGATTCGGGCGTCTCTCTGTGTCGTTATTGTGTGTTGAACTTCTTTCACACCGTACGTAACCAACCGTAGTAATCGTGGATGTCCTGTTCTGCATGGGTTTTTACCCATAGCTAAAAACACATACAATGCAATTAGCATTGGCCAAACATCAAGATGATGACAAATAACTTGAAAATTATATTATTTCTGTAAAGCCACGTAGATATATATTTATTTATTTCTATCTACGTGGCTTTACCGAAAGACCCAAAGAATATAAATTCCTGCAGTCACGAAAGGTTCAAGTCAACTTGAAAATTACTTAATTTTGAAGACACAGGAACAACATCGCCCCCTATGGTGAAGGGCCCTCCTGAAAAAGTAGAGACTCAGTGAAACTTCCCTGGATAAATGAGCATCATAAAAAACACAGTGACTCTCTACAAAAATGGTGTCACACATTTGAAGGCAAATAAACTATTAAACTATTTTTTTATTTTACCAGGTAAGGCCCTCTGAGCTACATAGCTCTTCTTCAGAAGCAACCAAATACTCTAAGTGGAGGGAAAACCGGAGGGCCCGTAGAAAAATCCACGTGACCACAGGTAGAAAATGCAAACTCCAAATGTACAGGCGTCAGGGTCGGGATTGAACCCACGACCTCCCGTATACAAGGTAAGATAGTTAACATCTCGCCACCGTGGTCCAAAAAAATCCACAACCGTATTCTCTGAATGATAAGATGCTCTGGAAAGTAACACAACACCCGCAACGTTTCCTTTGAAATACAAGGAGAAAAGTGTATAAACATTCAGATAATGGTATCTAGGCAAGTTTCATAAACGAACCAGCCTGTCTCCCTGAAATAGATATATCTACATTTAAATACGCAATTATGCTGTCCAACAAATTTTTTTTATTTGATTCCACGAGATCAGAACAATGTGACATACATGTTGCATAGATCTATAAAACCCGTTACGACAACGCAAAAGGTACAATATATTAAATAAAGCTTTCAAAATGAAAAGAACACCATTTACACCTTAAAATTCCCTACAAAGATATTTCTACACCTGTACGCCTGGACCACCCAAGTGGCTACAAATAGAAACACAACTCTCGCTTATATCTACAATATGCCCACAAAACCCCACACACGAGCACAGTGCACACGATTCGTACCCACAGGTAAAGCTGAAACACTGATGTAACAACGCAAGGATAGACTTGCACGCAATAGCCACCATATCTTCTACTGTCAAGATGCACACGCAACAATGGAGTTGCTTCGACTGACAACTTTGGCAATTTGACTTGCGAATGGGGTGGGAGGGGTTCAATCTCTGCATAAATCAAAAGAAAATATTATGCTATTGTATATTATGTTTTAATTTCCCAAGGAGTGATTTTTTTTTACACAGATTTTGAGAAAGAGAAAAAAAACCCAACACCTTAGTGCAAGAATTATAACTAAAATTCAGAATTCTGAATTTAACACAAATGGCCAAAAGTAGCGTTTGCTGTATTTGGAGCCTCATGACACGCGTGCATGTGTTTAGCCACCCATGAGAGCCAAGCTACCGAGTAAAGCGCAGCATCGATATTTACCGTTGGCAAACAAATGGGGGAAGCTTGCCACTAACGCATCGGTGGCCAAAGTTGTCCGGACTCAGTGGGCAGCGAGGCTTACAGTGTGTGACTGTTAACGTCAAGATCCAAGGCTTCCGGAGAAGAGTCGGCAGGTTTCAGCTGACAAATTCCCAAGTCAGGATTTCTCTCTGCTCGGACTGCTGTGATCAGGATATTGAAAATCCTGAGACGTCAGGGTGTGGAAATAAATGTCAACACCTCTGCTAGAAGGGGGTTTTCAAGTGCAGAGAAGGTCCGATTATTCTCTTCATGAAGATAAATTCTGTAACAGAGGTGGATTTCATGACGCGTGTTCAACCCCCGAATATCAATAACTCAATGAAGTTGGCCAAATTTGGTACATATCAAACGATTGAACATTTGGCATCGGAACCAATTGTGCACAACCACTGTTCAAGTATTATGTATTTATTCCAATGGGTTTATCGGCAAATGCGCCTCCAAAAAAGTGTAATCTTCAACGGTGACCCTGAAACAGCGGCAGAAGTTTCACATTCATACAGTGGTTACCCAATTTCGCCGTGGGACGACTGCAGACTTCCCAAAGTGTTACTCATTTTATTGACCACGAACAGATGACGAGGGTGAGTCAACCCCTGACTCTGAGATGTGAACTCATGCACTTCCAATAGTGTGTCCAGTGCTCCGTTGATAGTGCTATTGCTCAACATGACATTCTGCACATGCCCGCGGCAGTTTGTCAAGCCGGAGTGAGTTGAGGCAGCGTGGGAAAGAAGGTCCCTACTCACACACACACACGCACACTACACCACAAGAGCAACCCAGCCACCACCAGGCAGGAAACACCCCACGTTTAAGACACATTTATATGCCCTGTTTATAAGCAGGAAACGTGAAACCTCTGGCTCGTGAGCCAAGTCGACATTATATGATCACAATAAGTACGTAAATCTACAGTAAGACACCGTATGTTTCATTTGAGCTTGCGCTCCACATTAGCTTGAGGACGTTTCTTCAAGAAAGTGACAAAACACGGTAGAGTGTTTTATTTCCCCAGCCTGTTGAGGATCTATCCTCTTGAGCTTTCACCGCGCACTACTGCGGGCATCGTCAGGGGTGCAGGGATCTCCGCCGGCTCAAGATGCCCACAGTAGAGGTGGCGCAAGCTCGGGAGAATGATCGCTCGACACGCAGCGAGACCTGGCAAACCGCAGGCGGATTTCGAGCAGCTGCGGCATTTTAATTTGTTAGACTGCCCATACGGTCGGTGTCGACTCTCTTGTGGATCTACTGATAAATCCGCGACACGCAAAATGATTGTTTCATTTGGGGATAGAGCAAGACTCCACGCGGCACCTCGACGGGCGTATCACATTGTGCGTTGCCACGATCGGGGTGTCACCATCGCCTCAGCCGTTGATGCAACCACATCTTGCGCAATAGTTTGAACGTTACTATCAGCACCGTAACTTTGTTTTTTTTTAATGGCCCGATGGAGGCAATTTGTTAAAGCAATGCTTTTTGTAGGACAGGGTAAATACATTTTGCTTTAAAAAGAAAACTGCTCATTGTGAATATCAGACAAGCGTTTCACCTTAACGGGGACAGTAATTTCACAACAGATCGTCGTCACATCACCTTCAGTATGCACGGGTTTTAATATTGCCCCTTCTACCACTCCCATCATCCCCTAAGTTTATTATGTAACCACGGAAACCATTATTGAACGTTCTGTGCCCAGATTCCTTCGCTGTAGTTAAAAACGTAGCTACGACTTAAACGGCAATGGTTGTGCTGTGTATTGCGAGGCCTTCATGTGAACTCCACTCGTCTGATATGCACAATGTGTTTGTGGCTGATTTTAAAAGAAACATGACTGATTATTTCAACAAATCTTGGCAGTATTTTTGTAACAACAATTGTAAAAAAAAAGGCTATGACAACTTAAAAACCAAAAATTGCAACGCTGAATTTAATATAAACAGAAAACCCAACTAATAATGATTACAATCTGTTCACAATGTGCAATGCAAAATGATATAATGGGTAAAAATATTTCTTTGGAATATTTCTATTGTAATTGAGATGCATTTGCTCGCAATGTAAGACAATGCCATTTTTTAAGACCACTTCAGTACCATGCTAAATGACGTGCTAAACCCTGACCAGCATTAATCTCTTCACAATTCTGAAATCAAGGGGGAAAGAGTTATTTCTCTTTGATTGTGTACCTCTGTAAATGTATATTTATATCAAATATAACAGGTCAAATTGCCTCTGAGTATCATAAACAAAATCATTAAACATTAAACGGCATATTTCCCTATCTGAACTTTTAAAGATGATCGTAAACATGTTTTAGTTCAACTACCTAATCCTTTTTTATTGTAAATGCCTTAAATTTTGTAATATAGACAAACTGCAATAATGTGTGAAACTTGTAAAGGGTTTGCCAGACGGGCACCCTGTGTCCGTGAAGGAGTTCGTGAAAGGTTTGAGACCGCGACACACGGACGGCTTGTTCAGCTAGCGGCCAATCCCTTCACTCTTCACTAGCTCCACGAGCGATACCACAAATTAAAACACAACTGCAGCCCCAAAGCTTTACAGGTGACCAAAGGCAAGGAGGGGTTCTGCAATTCGTTGCTCGTGGAAGAGGGGGGGGGGGGGGTCCCCACCACAGGAATCTTCAAAGTGCCCTTCCAGACGGGACTTTGGCCTACTCTTCCACGCTGGCGTCTTGGAAGACGAGGAAGTTGCCAAACCCTTCCCCAGCGCACGTGACCTGTCAGTCGACTAAATGTGTTGAATCTATTTCTAATTCTGTGGTGGGCAGACTAAGAAACGTGCCCATTACATTAGTTGTCGCACAGGGAGAGCAGACAGGCGACCTCTGGATTCCAAGTCTCGCTTGCGAATCATTACACCGTGGCGGAGTCTTACAAGGTGACTGAAGGACCCCAAAACCCCCAGGACTCTAATGATGAATATGAACATAGAGGTGAACGTTGATTATTTAAATAATAGCAGTTAACAGAACTGTCTGGCAGGTTAACAACATGTGTCAGTGCATGTGCGCCTGGTGGGCAGAAAGAGAACACTGCCGTTTATGGCTGAAGGGAAAGTGTGGGAGGCACACGTTCCAATGTGGAGCGTTAGATCAATTATACGGTGATTTGCCATTGCGTGGCACTGGGGCAATACATTTAGCGGGTATTAAAGAAGCAGTTGTTTAAACTTGACCATGATTGACCGCATCTCACAGTAGGCGCCTCGTGACTGAGGACGGATCAAATAAAACTGTGGGGGCAGCTGTGACTGCTGCTAGAACAGATGGCTCCCACCACATTGGGTAAGGGAGCGTGGGCTTAGCAGACGGGTTCGGGAAGAAATAACCATGGGTGACATCGAGAGAAGCAAAGTGAGTAATCGCCATTTGATGTAGGCAGCCGTGATAGGAAGATAAGGCTGCGATGGAAAGCAGTATAACCGGGCACTTGAATTGACCGGACGAGTTAAATAATGTGCCTTTTCCCTGTTCCGTAAATTACATTCCTATGAAAGAAAAAAACAATCCTCATCTGAGTAAATAAAGGATAATGCCTGCACATGTCATGATGTACTGCCTATTTGCTGAGTAAAGTGTAAGCCACAGCAAGTGTTGATACCGGTTGTATATCAAGGTGCAGCACTTTTAGTACCATCCTGTCCTGTCTCACCCTTTAGACATGAGTGAATTTCCCAAGAGAGTGAGATCACATAATCCACTCCTTCAAACAGTCCCACACGCACAAAAGCTGATAAGCATTTCCCACATTAATTTTTTCACCTCTGGATAATGGACATGTTCCAGTCCTCTAAATACATGCCCACAAAAATCATTCTTTTGACCCGTTCCCATCCCTATTTAGGCCAGCAATAACCTCAGGAGGATGTCAGTACCAGGGAGACAAAAAAAAAACCTAAACTTGAAAACAATAAGTCGGCAATTATCGAGTATACACAATGACGAACGGTGTTATTCCAAACGTTTATCGCCACTCATTTAGTGCGCTCACCTAGGACGCGGATCTAGTGTCGCACCACAACATAGATAACGTGCAGCTGACCCATTGCGTCAAACACCAGCAGGAAAAGCCCAACAACGCACACAGACCTGTCATGGTGACTCGGCATTGCGCGACACGAGTGTTCGCCAGCACTTGTCCAATTTTAGCCAAAACATTTCCACAAGCGAGATCACGCACGGCTGCCTGGCTGAGATCAGACGTTAAAAGACTCGAGCAAAACGAGCTACTTGCAGTACCAACAATATTTATAATCTTCTTTTGAAAAAATAAATCAAGAAAAGTTAATTTCCCCACTCAAAAGACATTGGCAACAAACTCCAAATTAAAACATTTTCCTCATTCCGAAGGACGCTGTGCCTAATAAGTAGTAATCTGTACATAAATAGCGGTTATTTCCTCAAGTCCTGTTGAGTACGTAACTAGACCAGCGATCGCTTTTTTCTTTTTCTTTGGGCGAGCATTCGGTGCCACGTTGGCGAACGTGGCACGCGTAGAGAGCCACCCAGGGGGCGGTCCGCCAAGAGCTGCCGGAGGCAAACTCAGAACTGCGTGACCACCGAGTCGTCGTCGCAGTCGACCGACGCCGAGAAGCCAAACTCGAAGGAGCTGCGTGAGTTTGTGCGGAAGAAGTACTCCGGCTCCTGGGGGAGCTGCCCCTTCATGCCACCCTCCACGTAGTCCTTGATCTCCGTGGGCAGCCGCTTCAACTTCTCATCGTACTTTATCTGCAAGGACTTCAGTTGCTGGGGAAATGAAGGAAAGGGAGGTGGACATCATGGGGAGGTTGTTATTCGTGTTATTTATAACAATATTGTTCCTTATTTAGCCAGGAAAGCCTTGCTCTGAGTCTCAAAACCCATTTTAAAAGGGCCTTTGGCTTTGGGATGTTTCGCCAATATCCTTAACGACTGTCAATGTGGGAGGAAATGAGAGTATCTGGAAGAATAAAAACCCCTCATACACGAGGGGGGAAACCGCTCAGAAATCAGGAAGGGATAAGTTATCAACCCTCTTACTGTCTAACCACCAACTGGGCATCTCCTAGTTCAACAGGACATGGCTGAGATCTGCATGATACATCAACCATGCCTGCAAAGTGCTGAATCGCGTTAAGAAATGATACTCAACTATCATGCCTGGCTACATACCACTTAGAGATGGCATTCTGCTTGAAATTGTGACCCTGCAAAATATGTTGACGAGGAGTTGTAAGCATGTTGAACGTCTTTTGCACCGTGCATAGCCAACTATGCTAATCGGAGGGGAGGTGCCAATCTTCTGTGGGTGAACTCATAAACATCTATCATCAACAAAATGCTCCTTTCTATTCATTATTAAGAGAAACTCTACATCGCCATAGCAATGGGAAAATTACAACCGATGTAGAGGTAATACAGCACACGTTTTAAAATGCAAATGTGCTAAGTCTGAATTTCAAAAGTGAAATTGAAAACTTTTTTTTATTGAAGCCATCTCTTATGAGGCACATTTATGGATTGCAGCTTCCCACATCACAGCCACTGAACAACAACTCTTCAAGGTGGATTTCACACATGAGCTGTGTTTCACCAGGTAAGGCCCACTCTTTATCAGAATTGACCTGGCCACAAATGATAGCGCAACGAAGTGGTTTATCATGTGGAAACGCATAGCAGCCAAAAACTCTAAATCCATGTTTCTAAATGTGGAGGGAAAACCCAGAGGAGCTGGAGAAAAATCTACACAAACACAGGGAGAAGATGTCATCTCCAAATACACAGGCATCAAGGTTCAGGATCGAACCCACGACCTCCTGCATACCAAGCGAGGTAGTTAACATCTCGCCGCTCAAGGCAAAACAGCACCAGCGAGCAATCAAAAGTACCGCTCGAAATGCAAAAGTAAAAAAATGCGCTTCTTGTCATTTGCTCAATGAGAACGTGAGTGACAACACAAGCCGTTGGTTTAATGATAAATTGAAGGAAATAAATAAGTGAAGTATATTTTAAAGGCTTCACGAGCAATGCAAGAGACATTCAATGGAAAGAGCAGAATCACGAGGAACGTGAGAGGCCAAATACCGTCTGCTCCTCGTCCTTTATCTGCTTCAGGAGTTGCTCGTACGTTTTTGCAATCCTTTCCTTTCGCTTTTCTTGAGAATCCTGCAACTAAAGGCATGAACACAGTCACAGCGATTAATGCTCAAGAACCCAAACACTTAAACTTCAAAAAGTGTAAGAAAATATATGGAACTCTCCATCACTTCACGACACGAGGGATAATGACAATTACTGGAGCATTCCATTTAATTTTCCAGGAAAGGTTTCAGGCAATAAAAAAAATATATTTTTTGGTCCAACGCGGACATAGCGGGCGTGCAATTAAAGTTGCTCCGTCTGGCTACATTGGGAACCAAGAAGTGGACTTCTCATCTGCTGCTGATAAAATCATGATAATTTACAGCCCTTTGTCAAGCCGCTGTCGAATGAAGGCCCTCTCTCCACATTGTGTCGGTCATGGGAGTTGTTGTTGTGTCGAACTTAAAATCACTGGTCAGTGCAGGGTAGTGGATGGGGACCACTTAGGAATGTATTAGCCACTGAATGTTAGTCGTCACAAGTAATGAAACTCAGGTTCGCCGGCTTCCTAAGCACAGAGCACAAATCACTGCGCCACCACTCTCCCCACCGCGCAATTATGATCTTCTTTCGTTCCCTTCCGTGTGTTTTTTATTCGACGGAGCCCTATGATATAGTTCAACTTGTGTCTGTCTTCTGTCATTATAATTCTGAAGTTAAATACAAAGGTCTGTTTTTGTTTGTATTTCTATTTACAATACAGGTGAGCCACTACTGCAATAGAAAACATATTTCACCAGAAGCACAGGACATGTGCTGGTATGTGAGTTTGGAGCCTACAAGTGTTCATTAACACAAAACCTTTACATGCAATGGAAATGCTCACTTACTGTTTTAACCTTGACAACTGTGTCCTGTATGTGCATGGTATTGATCTGGTTCTTTTGCCTGTAAAGAAATGACATTATTGTGCAAACCTGGGAATATGAACAGCACCAGGAATTTGCCACCGTCCAGCGATCGGTGTTAACTCATGAAGAGTCAGTCAATGCAATTATACATTCCAAGTGTGTAATGTGGACTCCACCGTTATAAACATGCACACGCACTTGTAACTTTAGACGGTGAGAAATTAAAATAAAAGTTTTTAAACTTTGTGTAAAGAGTCTATTTTGAAGTATTTTATTCCAGTACTTGTTCTAAAGCCTATTGCCATTCTCCATTTAAAGAGTTTAATTAATGTGTACATGTGCAGAAAATATATCTGTGAATCACATTTGTTAATAGCACTGCTTTAAAAAGAAAACAAGCATATAATAATAATATTTTTTAAAAATTAACAAATAATTTGGTAATGCTGCATTGGCAATTAACAAAAAAAAAACACACATTTTTCAATAGCAATGTCTTAAAACCACAAACTAAACTTAACTATTTTAATTTTACCAGGTAAGACCCACTGAGCTCTTTTTCAGAAGCAACCTGACCACAGATGATAGCTCAAGGAAATGGCTTATCACGTGGAGAGTAAAACCGGAGGTCCCAAACAAAATTCCACACGACCACAGGGAGAACACGCAAACTCCAAATATACAAGCGTCACGGTCGGGATCGAACACACGACCTCCTGTATACCAGACGAGGTAGTTAACATCTCGCCACCGTGATGTCCAAAATGAAACATAGAAACAGGTGATATTTCAGGTAATGGCTCTTCTGATTTATATGCTATGAGGAAGTGCCACTGCCCAAAACATCGCTTGTTATATATATATATACTTTCCCCCATTATGGCCACAATGTTATTTGACGGACCTGCTGAGTATATATTTTTTTTATCAAAAAAGTTTATCGTCAATTGTGCATCAATTTCGTGATGAAAGCAGTCCACTTGTACACTCGCCGCTGCCATACCAATATAGAATTTCTCCCAAAGGATCAGGACAAACAATATGATGAGCACCCACAGAAGCTCATTTGAGTATGGAGACACTTCAAACTAAATTCACCTCTTGACAATTTTGTTGAACTACATCGCCTGGCTTATGCCATTTGCGCGCCCGTGCTAACGTACACCTTCGCCACACAGGGAGAGCTGCCATTGGGGGTCCCCTTGACCAGACTGCAGCAGGGCAATTGGAATGATTGATTATGAGATGTGATCTCAGCGGCTTTAAATTGCTTAGGCAATTAAGCATCTGATAATTGCCAATCCTTTGCCTTATGCATTTTTTGTTAGCAAACGCAGGAATAGTCCCCGCAGGGCCGTGAGACTTGTCCAACCTGCCTGGCAACGCGTGCTGCCCTCTACCGTGCGCGTTCTAGACCTGCACGGGAGAGGTGCGAGCCCAGCGAGCCGTGGCGAGGGGGGGGGGGGGCTCCTTGCCGTCGAGGCGCCCCACAGTCGTCACATCCCCCCGAGTCTACCTCTCCAGCTCCTTCTTGTCCTTCACGTCCTTAGAGGCGTTCTCCAGCTGCTCCTGCCGAACCGTGTCCATCTGCTTCCTCGTGTCCTTCTCCTCTCTGGGACGCAGAGGGCACGGGCGACAACATCAATGACGATGACGGGAAAAAAACTGACGATCTGCCGCGACTTGACCACGCGCGCCAGTGAGTGGTGCGGAGTTGTAAACGATGAATTTCTGGCCAAGTGTACCACTTTAGGTGGTCGGTAGACGGTAGGTAAAGGTACGGCGCTGAAATTGCCTGCAAACGCCACTGCTGGTGGAAGGGCCACCACGAGAAGGAGCTCAGTCAAGAGACACCCTCCAGAGGGGTATAGGCCGACTCTTCCAGGCTGGCCAATTATTTTGGAAGACGGTACTTTCTCGCCAAGCCACCCTAACCATATTGGATAAATAAATAATAACGCTTACGTTGAATAATGTTGATGATCGTCTAATGAATGACAATTACGAATATATGTTGTACAAGGAGGTTGGGGAGGTGGGGGGGGCCATGATGACAACATTTCAGCGCAAACACTGATTAACATTCCTGTACGGTGATAAACCACGCTTTGCTTTCATTGGCGTAAGACGAGCTGAGCGACTGCATCTGGCAAGAGCATGGGGCTTGCTCTCTACACTGACGTCATCCTGACGGGAGGTGACAAGGAGCACGTGCATGCCACAGCAGTGACCCGCAGGGTGGTGGGTTGCGGGGGGGCGAGGGGGGGGGCAGCGTGGGTGGGTGGGTGGGGGATTGAATTGCTCCTTACGTAGAAAAATGAGTCGCTTCAAGTTTTTCATCGCAGCCACGTCAGGTAAGAAGCCACGGAGTTTAATGTGAAATGTGCGGAGGGCGATCCATCATTAGAATAACCTGCGTTGGCCACACCTGGCGCGGGTTCTCTAGAAAACCCGAACCGGGTCATTTTTCAAAATAAAGTGGAGTTTAATGAATCCCCCGATAGACATTTCAGAGCTCCGCGCCCTATCAATGAATCCCCACGGGACGCGTTTAAAAGAAGGAATGCCAAATAGATGGAATTTTTGCAGGAATAAGCACAAAATGGAAAAGGAGGCTCCTGAATGCTACATTTTTTGCAGCTGAAGCAGGAAAATTCATTTCTGATCCTGTAAAAAACATTACTTAATGCAGTAAATCCCAGACTTCGGTGTACACAATACAAGAGAATGCACTCTCTGATATCTGAAATAAATACAAATTCATATTAAAGCTTTGCTATTTTTCACGCAGGCAGTGATAAGAAATCCTCAACTCTTTCTATTTATATATATACGGGATATACGTTTGCTCTCCGATGTGTTTTCGGGTCTTGTTCGGCATAATGTCCAACGTTTTGCCCCACGTGCCGCTGGGAGCTTCTTCAGTTCGATATGAATGAGCTCCACAGCACGCGTCGCGAAACGTCGGACATCACGCCAAACAACGAGCAGCACAACCACGACAACCTACACAGCATGAACGGTCAACTATGTATTAGTTTTATCATGCATCTGTAAGCAGAAGAAAATTTAAATGTCTATGCACTCCCCGTGACAAAGAGGTACAATGTTATATTGTTGTCCTGCCCTGCCGATTGTTCCGTTACGTTTCATTTCACGGCTGAACGGAAGACTTTCACTGGCTTGTGTGGTTATGTTTCTTCTGCCTGGTTGCGTTTCTCTTTCCGACAGATAGAACGCTATCACTTGCCTCTTTGCTAGTGCTTTAACGGATTGCATTTCATCTTCTGGGTCTCTCGCTGGCTGCGATTTGAGAAGGTAACTAACCGATGATCTCACTTGACAATGGCTCGTCTGTAAATGTGCACACTGCAACCCTAATCGTCATACAGGCCAGGACAGGGCATAGGTTACTGCCCGCTTGATCACTTCATTCTTTGCAGATGTGCGGTAGGTTACAAAAGGGATACCATCTCGAGATTACTCTTCTGGTTCTTGCTAAAGGAACTGTGAACACTCTGTGCGCATGAATCATCAACACCATCATGATCGATTCACTGACAGATGAAGGCCTCTCCAAGCTGCCCCCATCTCTTGTGGCCCTGCAATGCAACAAGCCATCTTGCACGTCCACACGGGCTGATTTCAAAGCTCCATCTCCAAGGAGGACGTCCCTCTAGGGTGTGCTTCCCTCCTCCGTGTCATTCCCCAAGCCCACTTCCTTTTCTTAACAGTCGAACTCATGCCTCTGCAGCTGCATATGTTCTCTCATCCATAAGTTTCTCTTTCTGCCTCGCAGTGCGACTGCAAGCATGCGCTTATCGGTGCAAAGAGAAGTGCATACCGTGTGCACGTACTGCCCTTAAAATTATATTCAATAATAACAAAATAAATAGCTGCGGCAACGTGCACCGGTTAATTCTCGGAAGATGCATTGGTGAGAGAGATGTAATCTATCGTTGTGCGACATGTGGTTGTGCACAGCGAGGGACGTTGTTGAGACAAGTGTGCTATGGCGGCACTCGGGTTACGCAGCGCGAACGATTCTCCGGCCGTGCTCACTTCTCGCACACGTCCTTCAGCTTCTTCTGTAGGCTCGCGTAGCTCTCCTGAGCCAGCTCCAGCAGCTTCTCATACATCTACAAAGAGAGGGGGGGGGGAAATGAGGTTAGCAAAAAAAAATGAAAAAAACACACACCGGATATAAATTTAAATTGTGGGCAACAGCAAAGTGCGTCCTCAGCATTTCACGGAGCAGGTTAAACAAAGCAGCTGATACTGGGTTGGCAGTGCGGATAACAAATCTAAAATTACATCTTTAATATGCTGCCATTAATCTGTAGGAAAGGAGGCCGGGTTGGCAGTGGCGCACACGTACATTACAGCACAACATTCAACACATTCATCCACAACACTGGCCTAAAGAGGAAATATATATAATCGGAGATGTTTTTCAATCGTAGAGAGGCAGTGTTCCCGTCTTCATGAAACAAGTTGGTGTTGTAGCCCTTGATGCTTTAGCAATTCCCTTTCCAGGTGTTTACGTGGGTTCCACAGAGGTTAAATGTCGCTTTGTAAAATACGTGACAGTGAATGTAAGGCCCATACTAATTCCACCAAGTTATATGGAATTCACGGAGACAGTCATGTAACTCCCTAGCTATATTGAACATACTGATAAGGGTGCCCTATGCCAACTACCATTAATATTGCCAAAACAACAACAGGCGATGCACACGTCTCCTTCGTAAATGGAAGAATCAATGACAAGCCGTGGCAGTGCGATTGTGGCCCTGCAACCCAAACATCGACCACACGCAGTAGGCCACTGCTGCCCGTGCTGCTTCAACGGAGGAGGAGGAGGAACAGCAAAACCGCACGGAACTCTCTCCCGAAGCCCTCTCATGGCCAGCAGACCTCGACATTGGCATTTAGCGCCCAAACGTATCGCCGTGTGCAAGAATGGAATTGAATGTTGCTTATTGTGGTTTTACTTTTGTGTTGTTTACGTCACACCAAAGAACCTTGTTCTTCGCTTGCAAGTGCATTGCATACATTGTCATTAACGAATTCATAAGCGCGCAATTTGATGTGTGCATCATCGTGAGTGTCGGCAGGGATAATTTTTTCCCTGAATATGTTATCAGTCGCTGGTAGACTGCAACAGGCACATGACCGGCAGGCAAAGCTATAACAAAAGGTACACTGGGTGTGGCGTGGTGGGTCTTGACATATTTTGCTGGTGGCCAAGCCGGATAAACAAAACCAGGCTGCAATTAAGCCGTGAGCGTGAGAATCAAACTTGCATCCATTCCCCGATGCATTCACATTACATGCCCACTTAATGTGTTTCAAGTTTCACCTTTAAATTGTATTTAACCGGGTGAGAACTCAGGAGACCAGGATGAGTGTCATTTGCAAGAGAGACCCTGGGTCACCAAAATTACTGAAAACAAACCAATAAAACAAGGCACAGCTAACGAAGAGAATAGGAATTGGAGCAAACGCAACTCAGTCACACATGAGAAATAGAAAAATATTCCAAAAACATAAATCAATGTGAAACAATAAGTTCCTTGCAGCATACGTTGGCTCATCAGATTATTTCTAAACTGATCATAGTGTCTTAAATATACGCTGCCAAGCCTGGTGGTGCTCATTCAGACGCTGTCTTTCCGACAGACCTGTTCTTCACCTGAAGACGGCTGCTTGCGTTGTGGCCGAAACGTCGTGAGAATTATTTTATTACGTTTTATTTTTATTATTTTATTATTTCCCTTCTACGTGACTTTACCGAAAGAACCAAGAAGATGAATCCCTGCAGTCACGAAAGCTTTAAATCGAAATTTGATCATAGTGTGATTACATTAAAGTTACACAAACATTAAACAGATACAGAGTGTACTATTATGCTAACATGTCAACAGACAAGGATATAGCCCCTCCGATTGGTACAGTTGGCTACGTACAGCGCGAAAGAAGTTCCACGTACACGCATATACATCGAATGCGATTGCAAGTGAAGTCATCAGGCGCAACGTGGAGAAGTCCGGAGCCTCTGTCATCGTGTGGCACACCGCTCACTCCTCGACCTGCTGCCCCGTGCCCACCTGTGCGTTGTGTTGCCCCCTCTTGCGCAGCTCCTGGGCGTAGTGCTCCTGCCTCAGCAGCACAAGATCCTCCTGCTGCTTTTTGCGCATTTCGGTCAAGGAGCGGCTCAATTCCGAGTCCACGAATGGCTCCTTGCAATCCACACTGCAGCGCGCACACACGCGCACAATAAGAGGTTCAGGTGCAGCCCTGCAATTGCTTGCTCACACGACTGTTGGTGAAAAGGCCTCCACTACTACAGGTAGCCCACGAGAGAGCCCCTCGAGAGGGTTTTACCCTGACGCATGCTGGCCACACGTCGTGGAAGTGGTGGGATTACCCCCACGCTTTGGCCCACCCTTTGCAACCTGCCGATTGACTAACATAATTTGACCATCGTTTCAACAGGTGGAAAAAAGTTACATTTTTTTGTGAGTGAATATTTCAAGACGTAATGCAAAACTAATTGCAATTTCATACTTTGGTATCTATATATATAAAATCGTTCATGTCTGTCTGTGTGTGTGTGTGTGGACTTTGGCCCATACGCACTTTCATTGGACGGCGGTTGCCCCTGGCAACGGCTAGCCACGCCTTCGCCGCTTTCATTGGACCTGGCAACGGCTAGCCACGCCTTCGCCAAGGGCTGCAGTTTCATTGGACGGCGGTTGCCCCTGCCAACGGCTAGCCACGCCTTCGCCACTTTCATAAGCTCCGTATTTAATTAAATAATAGCCATTACACAGTATTGTTGGAGCGCTAGGGGGGGGGGAAGGAACGCCACCCGTACCCTGCCTCTTCCAAGCCGACAATTTTAGGCGAGGCCGCAGGCTTTGCACGCTACTAGGCCTCGACACCCACCACGCCACTCTGAGGTAAATTCATCAAAGTTTTTCCTACTCTTCACTACACCCCCACCACAATGTGTGCTATTAATATTACTATTAAACCCAACGCGCCAACAATCGATTACTTTAATGTTCACTGTACAAATACTCATTAAGCTGGGTGAGCGTACTGCCAGTCTATCATGTACACTGTAGCCTGCTTATTAAGCTCGGTGAGCGTACTGCCACTCTATCATGTACACTCTAGCCTGCTTATGAAGCTGAGTGCGTGTACTGGCAGTCTATAATGTGGACTCTTGCCTGGTTATTATAATCGATTCTTTATATGTTCTTTGTACAAACAGTCATTAAGCTGCTTGAGCGACCCCAGTTCGATTCCAACTCACGCCCACCACCGCTGACGATTATTTGAAACGGACCTGGCCCTCCCCTAGGTCCACTCAGCCTCAAAAGCGTAACTGCTGTCGTGTGTGAACATCATCACTGGGGAGACAAAGGCGGCGGGGCATCGTGGATCCAAGTCCCGGGCGAAGCCGGGTCATGTGTATGTGTGTTTGTGTTTATGTGTATGTCTGTGTGTCTCTATGTATGTGTGTATGTGTGTATGTATGTGTATGTATGTGTTTGTGTGTATGTGTGTGTGTATGTATGTGGGTTTTTTTATGTCTTTATGTGTATGTCTGCGTGTCTCTATGTATGTGTGTATGTACGTGTGTGCATGTGTTTGTGTGTATGTATGTGTGTGTGTATGTATGTGTGTGTCTATGTATGTGTGTGTATATGTATGTGTGTGTATGTGTGTGTATGTATGTGTGTTATGTGTCTGTCTGTGTCTGCATGTATGTGTGTGTGTATTGTGTATGTGTTTGTGTGCATGTATGTGTGTGTTTGTGTGTATGTGTATGTCTGTGTGTATGTGTTTGTGTGTATGTGTGTGTATGTATGTGTGTGGGGAGCGGTAGTGTAGCGGTTAGCGCGCTGCGCTATGAACCTGGCGACCCGGGTTCGATTCCCGCTCACGGCTAACACCAGTGACGATTATCTGAACCGGTCCTGGGCCTCCCCTAGGTCGACTCAGCCTTAAATGAGTACCTGGTGCGGTGTGTAAACATCGCCACTAGGGAGACAAAGGCGGTCGGGCGTGGTGCTGGCCACCCACCCCCTCGTGTACCGTTCCGGCCTTCATAGGTGCTCGCTAACAGCACTTGCCCCTACAGTCTGTTCAGGCTATACGGGGGATCTTTGTCTTTGTATGTATGTGTGTGTATGTGTTTGTATGTGTTTGTGTGTTTACGCTCGCATTACACAAATGTGTTGCTGGTCTAAGGCGTTCCTCGCACAGCATTGCCGCTTTATTATTCCAGTCGTTTACTGCCTTACGCACCCTCAAAGTCGTGTGTGTCTGCAGCAAGCGCGTGTATGTGTACCTATGGACGCGCGCGCGTGTGTTGTGTAGGGGGAACGGTAGTGTAGTGCTTAGCGTGCTGTCTGTGTCTGTGTGTGTGTGTGTCTGTCTGTGTCTGTCTGTGTGTGTCTGCGTGTGTCTGTGTGTGTGTCTGTGTGTGTGCGTGTGTGGTGTGTGGGGAGCGGTAGTGTAGTGCTTAGCGTGCTGTCTGTGTGTCTGTGTGTGTGTGTGCCTGTCTGTGTCTGTCTGTGTGTGTCTGCGTGTGTCTGTGTGTGTGTCTGTGCGTGTGTGGTGTGTGAGGAGCGGTGGGTGTAGTGCTTAACGCTACGCTGCGCTACCAACCCGGCGAACCCAGTTCCATTCCCGCTCACGGCCACCACCGGTGACAATTATTTGAACCTCCCCTAGGTCCACTCAGCCTCAAACGAGTAACTGGTGTGGCGTATTAACATCGGCACTTGGGAGACAAAGGCGGCTGGGCGTGGTAGATCCAAGTCCCGGGCGAAGCCGGGTCATGTGTATGTGTTTATGTGTATGTCTGTGTGTCTGTATGCATGTGTGTATGTATGTGTGTGTATGTGTTTGTGTGTATGTCTGTGTGTGTATGTATGTCGGTTTTGCCGCCGTGGTGGATCCAAGTCCCGGGCGAAGCCGGGTCATGTGTATGTGTGTATGTGTTTATGTGTATGTCTGTGTGTCTGTATGCATGTGTGTATGTATGTGTGTGCATGTGTTTGTGTGTATGTATGTGTGTGTGTATGTATGTGGGTTTTTTTGTATGTGTTTATGTGTATGTCTGCGTGCCTGTATGTATGTGTGTATGTACGTCTGTGGATGTGTTTGTGTGTATGTATGTGTGTGTCTATGTATGTGTGTGTATGTGTTTCTGTGTTTGTATGTGTGTGTATGTATGTGTGTTATGTGTCTGTCTGTGTGTCTGCATGTATGTGTGTGTGTATTGTGTATGTGTTTGTGTGTGTTTGTGTGTTTACGCTCGCATTACACAAATGTATAATGCGGGTCTAAGGCGTTCCTTACACAGCATTGCCGCTTTATTATTTCAGTCGTTTACTGCCGTATGCACCCTGAAAGTCGTGTGTGTCTGCAGCAAGCGCGTGTATGTGTACCTATGGACGCGCGCGCGTGTGTTGTGTAGGGGGAACGGTAGTGTAGTGCTTAGCGTGCTGCCTGTGTCTGTGTGTGTGTGTCTGTGTGTGTGTGTCTGTGTGTGTGTCTGTGTGTGTGTCTGTGTGTGTGCGTGTGTGGTGTGTGGGGAGCGGTAGTGTAGTGGTTAGCGTGCTGTCTGTGTGTGTGTTTCTGTCTGTGTGTGTCTGCGTGTGTCTGTGTGTGTGTCTGTGTGTGTGTCTGTGCGTGTGTGGTGTGTGAGGAGCGGTGGGTGTAGTGCTTAACGCTACGCTGCGCTACCAACCCGGCAAACCCAGTTCGATTCCCGCTCACGGCCACCACCGGTGACGATTATTTGAACCTCCCCTAGGTCGACTCTGCCTCAAACGAGTAACTTTACTACTGTAGCGTATTAACATCGCCACTGGGGAGACAAAGGCGGCCGGCCGTGGTAGATACAAGTCCCGGGCGAAGCCGGGTAGTACAGCTAGTGTTATTTAAAATATTACTTCATGACTCGTTTAACGAAATTAACAATTCTCTTCAGAAGGGTTTGGGGAAATGTGTCCATAGTGTATGCATAAAATCATCACTTGAAGGGATATCCCTTCAGGAAACCCTTTTTTTTCATTTCTTCAATTATGCATCTGAAGCCCTGAATGATGAACCAAAAGTGCAAACCATTATCATAATAAAGTCACTGCCCATCATCGACACTTTCATAAATAGGTCACCGTAATTACCATCGGCACGACCGTTTCATCCGGGGGCGTATTTGTACACTCGGCTTTAGTTGGCAACACAAGAACAGCATCAAGATGCCTCGCCCGCTTACTAGGAAGGAACCAAAGAGGGTAATTAATCCAAATTTCCGCAAATTGGACAACGAGCACTTAATGATCCAACCGGAGCAGTCTGTGACCATCACTGCAAGCGGTAATTGTCAACGCCGCTGGAAAGCGGCGATGTCGTTTGTGTGAAAAGCGGCAACAGATTTCCTTCATCATTCCGAAGCCCCTGCAGGGCGCCCATTGTGTTTTGTTGACATACCACTTTTATTATTAGCACAGCGTGACGTGCTACTCCAATAAACCTCCGAGGGGGTCCTTGCGGGAGGGCGGGGGGGCACTAATAATGGCAATAACTCCTCCAGCAGATTTGTCTTGGCTTGTGTGTTTTGAACACAATTGGCAGCTGCATTAACACAGGAATGGACAGATTTGCCCGGCAGCTCTGTGCTACCATCTGGTGGGAAATTCTGCAATGAGCGCACTGCGCTCCGGAAGACACACGGCCGTGCGAGTGAGGTCCATTGGTGGTGCCATGACCACTGGGGGGTCCTGACACGGAAGTCATTTTTTGTGTGGCCCCCCTATCCTTTCAATTTGTGATGGCAGAATACATTACAGGGTCGCACTCGCTTTCGGATGCGCTTCTGCGATCGTCTGGAAGCTCTTCCTTCCGATATTAGGAAGCCACTGAACCTATGCACTTCTAAATCTAGATTGAAAACTAATTTCTTTAGAACTGCTTTTTGTGTTTAGTTTGTTGTCCTTCCCCTACACCGAGGATTAACATGGTTGGCTATGTATGGTGCAATAGAAGTTCAACATACATATTAATACGTACAGAAGAGATAAACGACTAGGGAAATGACAGGTGAGATTTAGACAAGAGATGTTGTGAGATTGCGGATTGAGTTTGAGCTTATTTGATTTGTTACATATGTAGTGTAATAGCGCCGACTGGTGGACAGCAGTGGCAACTGTGGTGGACAGACAGAAGTAAAAGCTCTGAGTTCTAGAGGTAGGAGCTCTGTGCGTTCTAGAGGTAGGAGCTCTGTGTGTTCTAGAGGCAGGAGCTCTGTGCGTTATAGAGGTAGGAGCTCTGTGCGTTATAGAGGCAGGAGCTCTGTGCGTTCTAGAGGTAGGAGCTCTGTGTGTTCTAGAGGCAGGAGCTCTGTGAGTTCTAGAGGCAGGAGCTCTGTGCGTTCTGGAGGCAGGTTCACTCTTTCACATGACACTGTCGTGGTCTGCAGAGCTCTCACCTGGCTCAACAAAATAAACTCGAACTCCTGTTACTGAAGAGTGATAACAGACGTTGTCGGCAGTGGCGGCTCCTGCAAAATCTCTCAGGGGGGGCAAATGTCTGGATGATTGATAAGGATAAGGTCCACCCATGCAAAGGATAAATTAACAGCTTAAGCATGTAAAGGCAACTTCACTTCTTTAATATTAATGAAAAATAAAGTGACTCTTACAATACATCTTGTTTGTTTCTATACTCACTATAAATACAATTCACTCATGTTTCTTTTATTAAAGATTCCACTAGGTGGCGACAAATAATTTTGTTGGATGAAACGTGCTTACGTATGATGACGTAAGCACGTTAGTGCGAGCCCTCCCGGAAGCCATAGAGAATGCATTGCAGCGCCCCCCCGTTCGAAAAAAAACATATTTGAATGTAAGTCTATGGGACCACTCGGGGCGATTCTCAGCCGGAGGGAAATCGCCCAAAAAGAGGCGGTACTCCACAGAACGTAGCATGACGCTGATTGGACTATATCCAGAGGTACAGTGACGGCTAGCGTGACTCTGTGGTTGAATGACATTGGTGGTGCGTCGCCCAATCGCCCTAATGAAGAAACCGCCCCTGGTTGTCGATACAGGGCAGGGTTAGGGGCTGTGCCAAACCCATCGCGATTGCGCGACCCGACACCTCACCTCTTTCCCTTGAAGAGTTTCCGTTCAAAAGACGCCCTCTGCCTGAGCAGGCCAGACTGCATGTCGGACAATTGCGACGACTGCTCCTTGATGAGGTCGGCCGCCTTCTTGCCGTTCTTCTTCTGCAGATCCTGCAGCTCCTTCATGTGCCGCTTGGACAACTTGGCGAGCAGCTTGTTGCACTTAAGGTCGTCCAGACTTGCGAGGCGCACGTCCGCTGTGAAAAGCCACGAGCATCGCGAAAGGATTTTCATTCACAGTGGCACTCGCAGGAACACCTCAGCGTCTCAAAGCGCCTCACAGCCTAGCCAAGGTAAACCCCGCCCAGTGGAGAATGTCCATACACCACCACACCAAGGGGTCTGCAGTAATGCCCTGCAATTGGGTATCATCTACCGTAGGGGGCGATGTTGTGATGCGGTTTTTACAATTTATATAATTGGCAAAATGTTTTCAGGTTTTGGAAATTTGTGAACAATGGCGCCGACATCTATGATCTACCAGTTTTTGAATAAAGTTACAGGATCTGTGATGTCCACCGCGAGTGTTTATGGTAAATAGACCCGCAGCATGAACCATGAACTCACATGCATACCTATCCTCCATTTAAACAAGCCTTAGACCAAGACTCTCCCTTTCAGAGGAGAGTGTGGGATGCATGAGAATGCAGTAAAGACAAAGTATAATGACTCTGAACACTCACCTTGAAAATGCTCATCAATGCTGCATCTCTTATCAACTTTCGGGGACAGGCCTGTGAAACCCCGCACAGGACAATACATTGCTGTCAAAAGTGAAATGGCCACTCCAACTTAAATTCAATTTATCGTTAGTGGGCCATGAACATTACTTTTTTCAGTTACTCAAGATTGTATACGTGAGAACCTCAAACTGGATGCAATTTAAGCCTGAATATCAGTTGATGTCGTGAGAATAATCTTAGATCGTTCCTATTGTTTACATTTATATTCATGCCTTCATCTCTCAAATCCAATCTTCAGAAAACACCGTGTAGTAAGACTTTGAAAAGCCTTTGTGAGAGCGTATTTCCTTGCCCGACTCCTATTCCATTTGTATTGTATTACTTTGATACAATCGCAATGTAGCTCTTACATCTTTATATGTGGTTGTTATGTCTGAGTGGAAGGAGCTATAACATGAGTCATCTGTGTGTTATAAATGCAGGAGCTCCGTGTGTTCAAGAGGCAGCAGTGTGGATGTGGCCACGTACCGAGGCCCAGCAAGTCTGGCGGGTTGGTGATGCTGGCCCGGTGTTTGTCCCGCGGTGCGGCCACAGGGTCAGGCCGAGGGCCTGGGCTTGGCCGCTGCGGGGTCTGAGGAGTCTGCGGTGCAGCCTGACCATCCACCTGGTCCTGCTCCACGCGGAGCCCATCACAAGCTCACCGTTAACATACAGCAGTGACTACCCTGATGATGATGATGATGGTCATAAAACAAATGTCTATTGGGACATGCAACGATGGATTAATTTCACAATTAAAATCCTTTCTGCACTTGAGAGCTTGGTTTAACCAGACAGCGGGCTGGAGTCAGCAGAGCCATTTCAACGCTCTGATCATCCTTGAAGATTCTTTTTAAATTCGTACCTCGTCCATGGTGAGAGATTCCAGCTGCTTGGCTCGCTGCTCCATCAACCCCTGGTACATTATGGGGTTGGACAATCCGCTGATGATATCTTTAAAGAGACATAACACGAATAAAGACACACGTGGTTATTTTTGAAATTTCAGAATTCTATTCAGAAATTAAGTTACAGACACCCCTTGCTCAATTGAATGATGTGCAATTATTATTTACACTGATGGAAGTCGACAACCCATGATGGAAATTCCACATTCATTTGGCAGGGACCAGTCTGTCCTTAGGGAAAGCTTTAGTAGGTGGTGCTCATTATGATGATCGGATGAGATCATGCTGGCCAAGGTTTAAACTCACATTGCTATGTTTGGGAACCTTTCCACTCAATCACCTCGCAGTACTTAAAATTAAGGCTACAATTTCGGCACATTCATCTTCAGTGAGATTTCATGGCATTGTTTAAAGTAAATTTAAGGCACACCAAATCGAACGTGTTTCTATAGTCCTCCCCACTCCTCCCCAGCCATTTACAAGATTGTACGTACTTCCGTTACCACCACGAGCGAACTCCAATGCCCTTCTTGGACATTCAAAGTAGCATTTATCTAAAATAAATACTCAGGACAATAGGCTCAACTCATCGGGATTAGTGGCAATGTTTTTCAACCACTGTGCATAATGACCTTAAATACAATAAAGGGGGCAAGGGGGCAGGCTTATTTACTTAATGTTACAGAGAACATGATGGGCCAGGCCAGAAGGATCTTGAGCCTGGAATTCTTGAGTCAGTCACAGACGCTACTGGGGCAGAGCTCTACAAGGTTAGTGCCTGTGATCGATGTGAAGAGACAGGAAAGAGCCAGGGTCACGAGACGCCCCATACTCACTCTCAAAGGCGACCGGGACATAATCCTTGACTTGAATGAAAACGAAAATTGCAGGGAGACTCAACGGCTGGTTGCTCTCATTTCGCAGACAAATGTGGTGGAAACCTGGAATAAACAAACCGCGCCAAGTCAAGCGTGCCAAACAAATAAGAGGTGGCATTTCTCGTGTGCACAAAAAACAAAAGCATCAATTATTGATTCTGGCGGTCACAACACTTGCATCAAATCGTACACGTGAGAATAGATATTTTTTGTGATAACATGGACTGATAAGTTGGGACAACACCTGGAAAAGACTGAAAAGGACAGGTAAAAGTGGAGAGTTGACAGCCAGGCCATCAGTGGAGCCCCCACAACCACTGTGGTTAAGAGAAAGACAACGATGACAATGATGATGACAATGACGATGACATCTGACTTATCCAAATCACACGGAACACTCCCAATCTCATCAGATATCTCATGTGAAGCAAGAGTTGAGCCTGAATTGTGCTTGGATGGGTGAGCATCAGGTATTATAGGCTTGCTGTGGGGCCACATTGTCAAAGCAGCAGAGGGCAGTGCAGCAAAAGTCACAGTTATATGATATTCTTTGGGTCTTTCGGTAAAGTCACGTAGATAGAAAAAATAACAATAAAAGAATGAAAATTAAAATGAAGTGAATAATAAAAAAGAATATATATATCACGACGCTTCGATCGCAACACAAGCAATCGTCATCAGGAAAAAAAAGAGGGGGAAAGCTGCTGAGGCAGGCTGTTTTAAAGGTTTGAAATGTGTGTAGCCCAAGGGTCATAAACGAAGTGGGCGGGGCTCGTGATGTCAAAGTGAGAGATTAGCAAGTCAATGTAAGATCTGGGAGCTACCTCCACGACTAGGGCGTGGAGGTGGCCATTGTATTGTGAGAGATTAGCAAGTCAATGTAAGATCTGGGAGCTACCTCCATGACGAGGGCGTGGAGGTGGCCATTGTATTGTGAGAGATTAGCAAGTCAATGTAAGATCTGGGAGCTACCTCCACGACGAGGGCGTGGAGGTGGCCATTGTACTGTGAGGGATTAGCAAGTCAATGTAAGATCTGGGAGCTACCTCCACGACGAGGGCGTGGAGGTGGCCATTGTACTGTGAGAGATTAGCAAGTCAATGTAAGATCTGGGAGCTACCTCCACGACGAGGGCGTGGAGGTGGCCATTGTATTGTGAGAGATTAGCAAGTCAATGTAAGATCTGGGAGCTACCTCCACGACTAGGGCGTGGAGGTAGCCATTGTATTGTGAGAGATTAGCAAGTCAATGTAAGATCTGGGAGCTACCTCCACGACGAGGGCGTGGAGGTGGCCATTGTACTGTGAGGGATTAGCAAGTCAATGTAAGATCACAGAGCCACCGCCACATAGAGGACACGAGCTTCAAGTCGAGTTCTATGACACTTCTATGCCTCCCCTCCCGCCCACATCAATGCTCCCAAGCTTCACAAACACATACAAACCAGCGGAATGAAGTCTGGTCAAATAACCCTCGCGATCCACATGACATTGACCACGACGTAGAAAACACTCGTTTTAAACATGAAACGGAACAATTTATCGACTTGAGTTGGGGGTAGAGGGTGTGTGGGAGAGGCAAATCATAACACAATTAATATTTTTCACGAGCTCCCGGTACTCTGCGTCTACCGTTCTAGCTGAAGGCAGATAAAAGCGATGAACATTCTGGGGGCCGGAAAGCAGAGAATTGAACGTTATGAAGTCCACGAATGAATGTGTCACTTCAGTGCTGATGTATGGTGGCAATACGCAGACTGCGAGGCGCAGAGATCATTCAGCAGACAGCGTGAAGAGGATTCGTAAGCTGTGCTGCGTGTGACAGTTGATGCCTTGTGGTGCTTTTATATATATTTAGTGCTCATGAGATTACACCCAAAATCACCGGTTCGAAGCTGATCATGGAATCATCGTTTATCATCCTAGCCACACGTTGAATTGCCTATGAAGATTGATTGAGGGGGGAAGTCGTGGAGAGACAGAAATGCTTTGGTTCCCACACATTATAAGGCCAGATCCTACAGCTCTCCAGCGGCTCTGAGCAGTATGTTGCAGTTAATCTTAAGTCGTTACTCAAATAGAATATACACAGCAACTATTGACCCCCCTACTGCAAACCATAATAATAATACATTGGCAGGACCCTCGTGAAAAAGATTTGTGAGAGGCAGTGAGGCTTTCCTGGGAAAATTAGCATAATAACAAAAACAATGCATTAATTTAAAGTTATTTAAAAATGCTCAAAATGAAAATAACAACTCTTGCCAATTAAGCAAATACTGAATGAGCTGCCCCACTGCCACCATTGACAACTGCCTCGTTAAATAAAGACACACACAGTAGTGTGATGTTTCCAGCAATGCCACTTGTGATTGACAGGTCACTGGCTAAAACAGCATCCCTCCTGCAAGTGACCATGCGGTGGTGATCATCTCTATTGGGGGTGCAGAGAGAATTCCACATTCATATGGTGGGAGCCAATTTTTCCACTGGACATCATCATCATTCAGCAGCAGATGCAGCAGCAGCAGCCATAATACACTTCTGGATGAAGGAATCTCCACGCTGTTACCATACGATATATATCCAGCTCGTAGGACAAATGCAGCACTCATTTAAGGAATGCCAGAGAGATGATACACTGAGTGACATTGATTAACTATGTTACGTATCTCTTGGATTCGTTTTGGGGTTGTACCGCTTGTTATTTGGCACGCTGTCCGAAGTTTCGCTCTACGAGCTGGGAGTTTCTTCAGGAATCGAATATTCAGCGCATGCCGACAGGTACAGATTGCAACATGAAAAACATTGGAGAGCTGTACAGCCCAACAGCTACAAACCTACGCAGTAGTCCTACGCTTTGAACGTGCTACTGTTCAATGGCAGAGGCAGGGTGATTGACGATTGCGGTGGTTTGTTTTTGTTTGGGTTTTTAGTTTCATTCTCTGAATCAAGTGTGCAGCCCTCCCCCCTCACCAGGGCGGATGGCAGACACAGGCAGGATGCGGTGTCCGACGAACTTCCCACCCTCCTCAAACACCCCGATGCGCAGTGACGCAAGGCTGGGCAGCACCACCTGCGAACACAACCACGCAGACTCGTCATCACGACCGCCAGCCATGGTCAACCGGCATCGTGGTCATGCAAGCGTGGTCTCTGTTGGTCTCTATGTCCAGGCACTGCCTGGGTAGGTTGGGCAAAAACATCTCTCCATACTTTCCACACTTTTCATTTTCTGTCTCTATTACTCTCCAGTCCTCTCCTTTCTTTCCCAAGGCCTCAACAACATTTTCTGTAAACCTCATTTTTGCCTTGGATCCCAGTTTCCTTCCCTCTGAACAAAAACTTTTTAGTTTGGGCAATGTTGTCCCCTCAATCCGCCAATCTTGCCTATTCTATCCTTTCGAGCACTTCTCATTCTCCTGCCAGGTCGCTGGCATGCTTGTCCTTCACCTGATGTAATCTCGCTGGATTTCATTCATTTTAAATGTTGGTCTCTGCATACCACCTGCAGTGGCCAAACTTTATCGACACAAATATCTTCATGAAGTCGATAAAACATGGAATAACCACATAATGGGAAGTTTTATCACTCTTCTTCATCATCACCATCAGCCAAGATAAATCCACTGCTGGATGAAGGGCTCCCCATGTCGTCGCATTCTCTCATGGGTTCTGTGAATGTAACAATCAGCTTGGCATCTGCACATGATCTGATTTCAATGCTGTATCCCTTGGCCATCATCATGGATGATGAAATCGGAGTTGCAAGTGACCAGGTGTCAGATTTCAGGCTGCATTGCCGTTAACATCCCACCACGGTGGTGATATGTTAACTACCTCTCCTGGTATACAGGAGACCGTGGGTTCGATCCCAACCGAGGCCTGTTGTATATCATTTGTGGCCAGGTCGCTTCTGAAAAGGAGCTACATAGCCCAGTGGGTCTTACCTGGTAACAGAGGTGGGACAAAGTCATTGTTATGCAAGTCCAAGTCGAGTCCGAAGTCATCAAATTCATGACTCGAGTCTGACTCGAGTCCAAGTCACATGACTCGAGTCCACACCTCAGAGGTGGGACAAAGTCATTGTTATGCAAGTCCAAGTCGAGTCTGAAGTCATCAAATTCATGACTCGAGTCTGACTCGAGTCCAAGTCACATGACTCGAGTCCACACCTCAGAGGTGGGACAAAGTCATTGTTATGCAAGTCCAAGTCGAGTCTGAAGTCATCAAATTCATGACTCGAGTCTGACTCGAGTCCAAGTCACATGACTCGAGTCCACACCTCAGAGGTGGGACAAAGTCATTGTTATGCAAGTCCAAGTCGAGTCTGAAGTCATCAAATTCATGACTCGAGTCTGACTCGAGTCCAAGTCACATGACTCGAGTCCACACCTCTGCCTGGTAACATAAAAAAAATATTTGTTCAGTAGTTTTAGTGAGCGCTTTTATTCGTAATCAAATAAACGTTGGTACCAATAAAATTTTGCAAGCTAAGATGGTGCCAACAGGTGAAATATCTGGCCTAAGCCCATCATAATTTCTTATTATTACGCTTGTTAACTCAGGAAAGCTTCACCAATTCTAAAGACATTTCTATCAGGAGGGTCCTGCCTTGTTGTCACAGTAGGGGGGGGGGGTGGGCAATGCTGCTTCGTAGTGTAATTTCAAGATTTTTTTTTTTATTATTGGGATAATTGAGCAGTGCCAGTTTGTTTTGTGTGTTAATAAAAGGAAATGAAAACGCAGTGGACTGACCTTATCAAAGACAAAGGGTTCCTCTTCCCACACCGGGTTGATGGAGTTGTTGTCTTTGCTGGTGCGAGTCTTGTATTTCCGCTTGGTGTCCACGGGCAACCCGAACATATCCACCTCCACGTACGTGCTCACTTTCCTGTCCGACAGGAACTGGCCCGAGATTACCTGAAGCGCAGAAGATGCACACACAGAGGATTCCTCTCATCTTACTCCTCCCTTCGGTCATCTCATGAAAAGTGTGTACATTGAAAGTGGGGGCCTCAAAATATTTGTTTTGCTTTGGGCCGCCAAAGGGGATGACACCACCACTCTCCGTCTATTCCTATGCTGCCACTCCAATCACTGTCTACCCCTGCCCCTATACTGCAATCCCTGCCCGTGCCAACGCTTGCATCGTTCACGCGGGGGCCACCTTGACAGAGATGGTGTTGGCGATGACCCCGTCGATGATGTCCTGCGTGAAGGGGTCAAACTGCTTGTCAGCCCGGCGCATGAACTCTGGCTTGAGTAGGTAGCCACTGCGGCAGTTGTACTCGAAGATGCCGATGTTGAGCTGCATGGCCAAGTCTGGGTGGCGGAGAAGGTGAGAGAAATCAGTTCTCACTGTGGGTTGTGAAGGAGTGTGGACATCTACCGGAAATTATTGTAAATATTCATAGAGTGAAAGAAAAAACTGTCCTTGGTTAACCCAGCACAATACAGTTTGGATGTATACAGCGTGTATAGACACAGCCATAATTCAAGGTGTTGTAAAAATAGTGCGACGTGAGCATCCAGGGGAAAATAATATATTTATTTCCTTATTTCGTAAAGGGAAATACACGGTCACAGCAAGAGGAGGAGAGGAGGTCTTGAGTGTCCACTTGAGCAGGGAGTCGATAGAAAAGCTTGTTGGTGGAAGGGAGGTTCAGATTACAGGGGCAGCAGCAGATAAAGAGCCCCCTCCCGCTTGCAGGAGGTAGACTCTGCAATGTGTCACAGTACGGCTGTATTGAGACTTTTTACTAATATGAATTTAATTTTAGTGAAATACCTACTATAATCACCCAGCAATGTCTGTCCTTAACGAACGTGACGTCACTCCACATCGACCAGCCCCCCTCATTAATATTCATGAGTGGGTGACATCACTCAATATGGAGAACTCCCCCCCCCCCTCACTAATAATCATGCGCAAGTGACGTCAGTCCACATCGAACAGCCCTCCTCATTAATAATCATGAACAGGTTACATCCTCCACATGGACCTCCCCTCATTAATAATCATGAGCAAGTGACGTCACTCCACATCGAACAGCCCCCCTCATTAATAATCATAAGGTGACGTCCTCCAAATGGACACCCTCCTCCATTCATAATAATTAGCGGCCTGACGTCACCGTCACTGTGGAGTGACCTCCGTGACGCTATTGAGACATTAAAGTAAAAAGGACGTCATGATGAACAAGGGATTATAACCTTAAAATGAAATAGGTCTGCGTCACCGCGCCCTTACACACATTAGTGCAATGAATATCACTTCGCGGTCTGCTTTCTGCTTGCAAGTTTCATATTTACTGCAATACACCCGTCCTTGGATGGGCAAAAGGCAAGTAAATCATAATAGGCTATTCTAGGATAGGCGAGGACGGTGCTCTGTGCTGTGAACCCAGTGACCTAAAATTGATTCACGGCCATAGCTAACGTCAGTGGAGAGTGACCATCGGATCAAGTCCTGGCCATCCTTCACCCTGCAGTAGCAATAGAAGAGTGATACAGAGGCAGCTGAGCAGCAGTGAGCAAATTAATTGTCGTTCTTTTTTCGATCTATGTAACTTTACCAAAACTACCATATTATATGAATTCCTGCAGTCACGAAAGTTTAAAGTCAAATTTCTAGATTTGAAGCTTTCGTGACTGCAAGGATTCATATTCTTAGGTTTTTTCGGTAAAGTCACGTAGGTAAATTATTTTACTTTTATTAATTTTCATTTTTTACCTACGTGACTTTACCGAAAAAACCTAAGAATTTAAAGTAAAAATTTAGCAACTGTAAATCGATGTCCTATCTTGTACATCCACATGCTGGTTTTGGGGGACAAGACGCGCGTTAGTGAAGGCTTTGGCACAGAAAAAGGAAGTGATGTGGAGCAGATCAGCTCACCTAACGTCTGGTAGTTCAGGGCCACCATCTGACAGCCGGCGTTCCAAAACACCTGCGGCATGTAGTTGGAGGAGTCGACTCGTGTGCCCTTGGGATAGATGCGGCTCAGCTGGGTCTTGTTGTATCTTCAGGAGTCGATGTGGTGTTGATGGCGGTGGACAAGTCGAGAGGTTGCTGATTAAGGTGCCACAACAGCCTCTTACTTTGAAGATTGTTAAAAATAACTGGGTTTTAGCGCCATATACATTTTTTTAAATGAAATATGTACATTTGTAGGGAATACTGCAACGGACCAATGGTTATCCACGCTGCACTTGCAATCCGGAGGGTGCGGGGGTTCGCCTGGCGGCAAGTGAAAACAATGGTGCAAGTTTCTTAAATCCGCCTGCCTCAGCCCACCCAGCAGTGTCAACCGGTGCACCACTGTCAGGTCAATCATTAGGTGATGTGTGGTGGGGTGAAGTGTCAGTACTGCTACACCTTCAAGACTTCAGGCCACAGTGGAAAAGTAGATTAAAAACTACTTTTGAGAAGGGCTCTCTAGAGCTCACTAGAGTGGAGGCTCTTCAGCGACCAGCAGTGGTGAGAGAAAGCAATTGCAGGGCTGTACCTTTGCCTTTATAGTTTTTAACTGCCACTGTGCTATCGACATCAATCATGAGATGAAGAAGTGTCGATACAGAACTTTCGCAAAGCAATGCATCACCTTGTGTCAGAGCTGGAATTTCGCCAATTGAATTGAAAAGAAAAAAGCGTAATGACTTTTTTTTTCTCTCTACAGTTATTGGTAACCGGGCTGAGATCAATAATTCACGACACTTCAGAACCGAGTGTAATCATGGGCAACTGAGATCCTGGATTAAAACCGAGCCTTTCAGATGTGCTGGCTCAGAGCTTTGAGCCCCGAGCTACCTGGTCAAATGAATTAAAAATGTTTTGAATACCGGATTCACGTTTAAGAAAATACATTTTTCATACTATTGAAAGTGCAAAAATCTACTGCATTCTGCCTTGGTTAACATTTTTGAAGAGTTTTTTAACGGCCACAATGTTTGCAATGAGATATGTAGTTAAGTCGATTGGAAAAAAAGGAAGTTAATACTTTGGCACGTACAAATAATATCTTTGCAAACGTGAACAATCTTGTTGGGTGGTGGAAGTTAATCACAATAATGTTGGCATACAACTACTTTGCAGTCATGTAGCCAAACCCACTGCACTGGCTAAACAGGATTATATTTAAGTTAGTCTTAAAACAGTAACCTTGTTGTTTTATTACTTTGGTGATTACATAAACATAAAAAAAAACTTAATTCCAACTCTTTGGAGCTGGTGACCATTGCAAAGATTGTGCATACACACCATGCAATGAGTGCGTTTCGAGTGTAAGAATCGATTTCAATCGATGGATAGTAGCCTGCGGTCAGCTTATAAAAGTTGAGAAGGCTGTACCAAAACATTGCCGATGCAGAAGTCCAACACTGCCCACTAGTGGAAAGGATGACCAACCGACAGCAGAAGTTTAAATTCCTGTGGCACACCAACAACACCCTTTGTAAACAGCACTGCCGTGGATCGACCTGTGCACAGTTACACCCCCACCCACCCACCCCCCGTATGAACATACTCCAGGTAACGAGCCCAGGCACGTTGGCCGTGTTGCCATAGCTCAATGGGCCCTACCCGAAATAAACCGACCGACCGTCTGGGTGCGTTTCTTTGGGTACCTCGATTTTTCGCCCGCAAGCCAAACAGTCATGAATGGAATTGGCCAATTATCCCAATTGCAATACACTCCTTAAAGAGTCGGGGCTCAATTGGGCTTTTTATATGAAGGATATATTATGATGAATAAATAGTCCCCGTGAGGCAAGCCCTCTAAGTGAAACCCACAAAATTGTACCATGCTTGCGGGGAATCTAATAGATGAATCTGATGGATTGCGTAAGTAAAATGTGTATCATAAATCCTCCTCCACTCAGCAGAACCAATTAATAAAGTTGTCACATGAACAAAGTACTCGTTTATTACTGCTTCAGCACCATCGGTGTGTTGTTGGAAAGCAACATTTAACGAATTGGGTACGACGTTTAGCTGGTAGTTAGAGCCAGTATCATTAGGCAGTTCACAGATTTCTCAAAATATCCTTCAGCATTTGATTACGTGACTTTATTAATTGGCTGTGTTGAGTGGAGGAGGTTTAACAACACACATTTTACTCAAATGATCTGGTTGTAGCCAACATCTTCATGGAGAAATTTGAGACGGACGCTATCCAGACTGCCACTCTACGCCCGACCTTATGGAAGAGGTACGTAGACGATACTTTTGTCATCTGGCCACATGGCCGGCCTGCTCTAGACCAATTTCTCGACCACATCAATTCCATACACCCAGCCATCAGATTCACCATGGAAGTCGAAAATGATGGCAAGCTACCCTTTTTGGATGTCCTAATCAAAAGGAGACCTGATGGTTCAATGAGCCACTCTGTCTACAGGAAAGCCACCCACACGGATGCTTATCTAAAACCGGATTCCCACCACCATCCATCCCAGAAGAATTCCCTCATCAAGACTCTATATCATAGAGCCCAATGCATCTCCGACCATGAACACATTTCCAGTGAACTCAAACACGTACGCCAAGCTCTTAAGGCAAATGGTTACTCCGACTATACAATCCGCAAAGCCATCACTCCAACCATCAAGAAGGATCCTGTTGAGGAGCCTTTCAAGACCATCACCTTACCCTACATTGCTGGGGTCACAAAAAGATCTCCAAAATCCTGATTAAACACAAGATCCAGGTCCGATTCAACACAGTACATAAAATCCGTGATCTGGTACCGTCTGTAAAAGATGTGGTTCCAGACATACAGTACCCTGGCGTCTACAAACTAAGTTGCCTCTGTGGTAGTAGTTACATTGGGGAAACCAAACGACATGTCTCGGACCGCATCCGTGAACATAAAGCTGACCTGAAACACGGTAGGACAAACACCTCAGCCGTGGCAGATCACTGTTACAACTCAGTGGGCTCACATGATATTGACTTCTCCAAGACAGAGGTTCTCTGCAAGCCATCTGGCTATCATGAGAGATTCGTTCATGAGGCGATCCACATATACAAACACAGAGACAATTTTAACCGAGAAGATGGATTCTGGCTCAGCAATCATTGGAAGGACGTAATAAACCATTTCGACACACATTAGGGTGTGTAGAATAATACATAGTGTTATATTAAATGTATAAGATATAGGTTGGTTTACAGCAATACAGTATATAATTTAATGTTGGGTTTATCTATGGCAGTATATAGTACGGTATATGCTCGTGTGATGTAAGAGAATAAGGTCTAGATGGAAGCATATTATAGAATTTTTACGAGGTAGAATGGTAATGTATTACTTGCTGTTAGTAACTCAGCTTATTATAGAGTATAGTAAGTATACTGATGGTGCGATGCAGTTTATACTTTAGTTTTTTATGTAGTTTATACTTTAGTTTTCTACGTGGTTGTTGAGTAACTGCAGCTACATATCATTAACATTCCTTCCCTTTGTTACTGCTAATCCCTGCACCCCCCTTGGTTGCTGCTGATCCTGCATAATGCATAGGCATAATATGACTTTGACACCCCCCCGCCCAACGCCTACGCATTTTCCATGAATATGCTAAATTCCTCTTCACATGCACATTCTTTTTGTTAAGGCGCTCTTCAACCCCCAATGCAGCTTATATATAAGCTCCTAGTTTGGTAGTGTCTCATTCTTCACCTGAAGACGGCTGCTTGCGTTGTGGCCGAAACGTCGTGAGAATTGTTTTATTATGTTTTATTTTTATTATTTTATTACTTCCCTTCTACGTGACTTTACCGAAAGAAACAAGAAGAAGAAAATAAATTACGGATCACAACAATTGTCGTGCAAGCTTACGCATCAAATTAGATTAATCTGATATGAGACAAATACCAAATCTAAGAAAAAAACATAACAAAAAGGACATTAAAATGCTTGCAAGTAATTCAGTCTATAATCAGCAGTGGGAGAGAAAATAAAAAGTAACGTACCTGCTATGCCGTATGATTCACAAACACGGTCATTCACAAAAAACAATGGAACTAAAACTGAATAGTGTACAACGAATCGCGAAGAGACGTATTACATTGTGAGGCACAAAATGAATGGAAGGACATTAAAAGAATATGAAGACAAGTAAGTGTGGCTTGGACAGGACACGTCGCTACGAGCAATGATGGCTGATGGGCCATAATAATCACGGTGTGGCAACCAAGTAATGGAAGTGTATTTAAAAGTACCTTCATATGGGAAACGGAGCGATGAAATCAGCTCGTGTGCATGTTTTAGGTGAATTATTATATCTCATGCTCATGATGGACAGTGCCTTGTGGAGGCCTTCATCCAGCAGTGTAATGACCATGATTTATCTCACTGCATCACGCGCTTTCAGGTGCGCTTCTGCGGCCGTCTGGAACGCTCTTCCTTCCAGTGTTAGGAAGCCACCAGAGCTCTGCACTTTTAAGTCATCATCTGGATTGGAGGGGTGAGGATGCCACGACGCCAGTGGGAGGATACTCCACAAACTCCACGGGACACTTGGTAAGCTGCTCCATGCCCTTGCTCTCCACGAAGGAAGACATCTCGTAATTTCGGTTCCTCTCTGAGCGAGAGAAAATGGAAATTATCACGTGTTTTTTGTTTCGGGCACGGAGAATTGTTGAAACACGTGTGGAATATCCGAGCGGGATATATTTCACGTACCACAAGTCTGACGGCCAATAGCAACGAATGCTTCTACACGTCAAATTAAAACATAATTTCTTTCTTCTGTAGAATAATGTAAACTCTTTAAGCAATGTTTTAATACCAGTATCACATTTTTAAAATGATCTTCATGAATATATGTTTAAAACGTTGTTTTGTATTACATGCAGTTACATAAACATTGGCATCACAATTTCCATCAGGTTGTGAAGAGAATACCAAAATGCATCTCCGAAATAACAGAAAAAGGCCTCCTTAAGTCAATCTGTATGCAACACAATTGCAGCTAATCTGTGATAAGGCCATAAAGCAGTGTTAATTTAGTCAGCTGTGAGTATAATTATGTTCGAAACAACCTGTGGCATTTTAGTCAAGGCTTAGTCTGTGGATATCATTTAGTCAATAACACTGAGAATAGTGTTAATTTAGTCAGAACTGTGTTATTTGAACGACTTGATCAAATCCACAGACTTAGACCGGACTAAAATTCCACGGATTATCATTGCCCATCGTCGATTTTAAGACTAAAGCGCTGACGGCATTAAACTCTGGCCGTGAGAAAACCATAGAATGCTCCTTTATTATAAAGAGTGGACAACATGTTGGGCGACGTGCCTTTATTAAGATTGATTAATGATTATGATCGAATGGTGAATGTGCAGGTTTCCATTAGAGCGGTAAGAGCAAATCCAATAGCCTATTTGAGTTCTGTTTACAATGAGCAAACCTGATTAAGCATGCAAGGGCACGTCTGCCTTGCCAAGCAGGTCTCTCTTTCACAGGAGCGGAGATGATCAAGCAATTCCGTGACTTACACAACAACTTTTGCAACAGATGTCACGTCCCTTGAAATTTGAATAATAACGTATACAAGATGGGGAAAAAATAAAAATCGTTTTGCAGGAAAATCTGTGATCTCGGAGTGTGCATTATTATAGCACTGGCCTCTGTAGCGAATGATACAATAAAGTGACATTCTTGATGTAAAAAAAGATGACAGTTGAAATCTAGTTGAGGCTGCTCATTGAAATTCAAATTATCGACGGCGAGTAAACTACGATAAAATACAGCAAACAGAGACACAACAACGATTGTGGAGCACTCTGTTTTTCAACCCTGCTGCTAGACTTTATTTATTAAAAATCCCCATTATAAGACGTACACTCTAGTACCATCCCAACCTGCTTTTTTTTACGTGAATTTAAATCCCGCAGGAAACTGCATTGCACGAGTGACCTCACGCTTCGTTGGGCTTGCCCTTCAGTACCCGGTCACGTTTTTGTTCATTAGTGCAATACACACGTTTTTCACCAGGCGGCGTCCTAGTCAACACGATGCCTACTAAAGATGTGTTTTCTCTTTCACGCAGTGAGTTTTCTTGTCGCTATTTCTGGTTTCGCACCAATGCCAACGCAGCATCGCCGAATAATTTACTCATAACCCTGGGGCATTCTGAAAAACATGGCATGTGACCTCGGTCTAAGGTCATAGGTCGCACAGAGCCAATCGTCAAATTCTTAAGTCCAATACTCTTTCCATTCAGAAAGAGCGGGTCCTCAATCCACTTTGTAGGGGAGCATATTGCTCAAGCAAGTCCTGCGACTGACAAAAGAATGATGCACAAGGAATGGAAGCTGACACTCACTCTTGGCATCCTCAAATGAGTCGAACTTGATGGGCTGCACGTAGTTCACCAGGTTGGACATCTCTTCCGAGGCTCCCGCTTCAATGCTTGCAGTTCCCTGAGCATCCAAAGCGTTCATATTTAATACAAGGCAAAGGTACAGGGCTACAATTATTTCCTTATGGCACTGCTGGTGGAAGGGGATCCATTAAAGCAGAGCTCAAGAGAGCCCCTGTCATCCGGCCTACTCTTCCACACTCGGGAGATGTCTTTCCACACAGAAAGGCATCCAAGCCGGGAATTGAACCCAGGCTCTGCTTGCTATGAAGGAAGAAAGTTACCACTGCTTCCACCCTGTGTAGTATTTACCTATTTAATGAGATATTCTGGATTCGGTGTGTTACTGCACCTCATCTGTGTTGGCCTTTTTGAGTTCCTCTTCATTGTAGTCTTCATCATCGCTTCCCACGTCCTCATCGCCTGTAACAAGTTGGCATCACTACTTCAAGAGAATCACCCAAAAGAACGTGCATATTAATAGGCATGAACTCCAGCCTCCAAGCAATACCATCCTTGCAAGGCTAAGTGTCCGTCCGCACCACACTCGCGCTCCATGTTCAGTAGCACACGTGACATGGCAGTGACATGGCCGAGTGGCAGCAGAGGTTTGCGGTTCGAGCCCAGAGGCCACCCTGGTTTATACTGCAGGAACATTAACTGTGTGCTTCACAGCGGGCATTAAAAAGGCCACCGTGCGTCGGCGTCATGATCCAAATTTGCCAAATTTGATAAATGATGAGCAAATTATATTTATTACGCAATTGGGAAAAGCCACAGACCAAGATTGCATGTACATGCCGAGGCATTTCAGAATCAGAATTATTTATACTGAAGCTCTTTTTGCCACACAGGGACAGCTGCCACCAGGGGGGGTCCCCTCAGCTAGACTACAGGAGGGCACTGGAATGGTTGAGATGAAATGTGATGTAAGGTGCTGTGAGTTGCATGTATGATCCCTATGAATGTAAATCCTTAACAGCCCCATTTAGTCATACATACATAGGTACTTCCACGAACATTTTGGCTATTTGTAAAAACACAATCTCCTCTCATTTCTACGGGAGGCACTACTGGTTGGGCTACGGTTCGCTATAATTTGCAGCTGCGTCAATTCACCGTGCTCAAACTACTGAGCGAGCACTTGATGTTGCAGAAGCAAGGAGCGACGGTACGTCAGCGCAGTATTCTTGCGTATGCCCAGCGTCGGTCTCATGGGTTCGCTCGGCGCGTGAATTACGGTCTGTGTGCGGAGCTCCGTTTGACATCTATAAACGTGTCAAACGGCCATTAGTTATTTCACCTTGCTTTCGCTCGCACCTCCCAGAGTGCGTCGCTATCCGGTGCAAACACGGGCACAAGGTGTGCCATGAAATTTACTGCGCTGTCCAACCGTGTCCGTAAACAAAACAAGAAATGATTTTAAAAAGCTTCCGAGCTTGTCAGTGCCTTCACAAATCTTGGCAGCCCAACGTAAACTTCCCTCGTGCCGCCCTCAATCGTTGCCGCGCCGTTTGCCGAGCACCGCGTTATAAATAACGGGACATCTATCATAGGCCTACGCATCAGCCCCTCTGCCCAAACGGCGCAGTCCGTGACAGATATCCCACGCATATATTTGACGGCTTAATACACAGGGGGTTTGGAACGTTCTACTTGTTTGCACACGGGGGTGGCACGGCGATTCTAACTGTCCTTGGATCAAAATAGAGTCAACCACCGCTGACTTTCCCACAAAGTGGTAGTAATTTTATTGACCCCACAGGAACGATGGGCTGAGTCAACCCGCGGCCAGGCTTTGAACTCGCCGGCTTGCATTCGCAAGCCTCTTACTCTGCCCCCCTGAGCCACTTGGATACAGACCTGAATTACCTAAGGATTTCTTGAACATGGTGGACTTCTGCCAGTCAGTGTTCTTGGCGACTCTCTCTGTGCCGTTGGGTGTAGCTTGAGCCTGTGAGTTGTCTGCTGGCTCCACTCCTATGGGAGATGCTGGGGTCACGTAAAATGGTACTGTGGGTGCGACGTGCGTCTCACGAATGCATGAACTAAACGCACTTCGCGCTTCTTTGCTCAATTATGCTCCCATGGGAATATGCTCTGTTCTATACTCTCTTCGGGTGATTAAAAAATTAATTACGATGACGATATTCCACACGGTGTCCGTGTCTACCACGGGATTATGATGATGACGATGATAAAGATAATGGCGTTCAATTATGGCCATGTTCTATGTGCCACAACATCCACTGTTGGTCTGTCCTACCCTTACCTTCACCAACCCACACTGACCAGTGTGGTGAAGGGGTGTCAACATGACCCTCACAGTCTGCGTTGCTTGGGGAAACTCTATTCCAACAGTGGATTGGCGAATGGGCTGTGAATCTACAATGTCTTCAATGTGATGTCAGAAACCACAGTACACAGTGAATATAGTTATGAATTATGACAATGAAGATGACAATGTATGTAATTTACAATTGTGTGTTCATGCGTTGGTGGTATCCACAACACAATGATGATGATGAGCATCATGACAATGACGATGGCAGTCGTGACGGCAGTCGTGACGGCCACCAATTGTGGCCTCTGCTCACCAGTTGAAGCAGGAACGTCCCCGATGCTGGACTCGCTCGGAGTGTTGGAGTTGGTCACCTCCAGCTTCTTGCGGGCCGTATCCACCTTGGAAATCTTCTTCTTCTTGTTCTTGATGAGAATTTTCCCTTTGAGCTCTTCAGGACTGGGTAGCGGCACTCCAGATTCCAGCTAAACAACACAAAACGGACAAAATAGGGGCTGATAGGAGGAAAGGCACATGGGAAGAGTCGTCCCACGCGCCAGAGCATCCGTTATTCAATGAGCCGCACGGGGAGGGAGGGTTTCGAGCGTTGCGTGCGTACCGGATATTTGTCGAGAACGTCCACGAGCAGAGCGTCTCCAAACATCAGCCTGCAGTACTCCGCCATCTTGGCCTGCTGTTTGGGGCTGTCGCGAAAACAAATATATACATTAGTAAATAAATACATTGACGATACAAAACACGACAAAATCAACGAAAACTAAACATTTACAGAACACGTAGCTTTTATCGGCTAATGTTACAATTCATGATTTCAGTGGTCTAAAACCACTCTGAAATCATGTTTGGTTTTGATGTCACAGTATGAAGGCCAAGGCGTTCATGCAGGTGATTTAAATGTTTTTGGAGTTTTTGTATATTTGTTTACTTCACAACTGTGTAAAGAACGGGTGCAATATAATCCAAGTAAAAAGCAAGAAATTTGCATGACATTCAAAATAAAGTGCCCAATAAAATGAATACATTGTTACATATATAACTGAAGGAATACTATAACATGGAATTCAGTACAGTATACATATGCAATCTATGGCTTAAATGATACAAATTAGTCTCTCACTCAAGACTATTCACAGGTATTGAGTGACGATATTTTGTGAACATTATAAAAAACCAAAGGTGTTAACATAAATTCAGAAAGTATAAACCAACCAACTCAATATTTGCCAGTGCCAGCCATTGTGAACGATCAGTAGAATTGAACTTCAGGAAATTACTGAATATCTGAAACGAGGAAGTCTGCGAATTTGGGAGAGCGATAAATGAAAACAAAAGTCACATTCAACGAAGTTTTCTCAACGAGAGACAATTATTGTATTGGCGTTACACAACTTGAACAGACTAAGGAGCATTTAATTATTAAATTGTGCCCTGGATCAAACTGATGAAATGAGGAGGTGAGGCGAGTGCAGGTTGCAGTGCTTTTGAATTTTTTTTTTCAATTTATAATTAAAATAAACACAAAAATGTTCCTTTAGAAGAAAGTTTTCCATCAGTGCGTATTGTCGAGGATGACACGTGGATGGTAAAGCATAGACGCTGACAAAAGAAGTGGAATAAAAGCTGCAAATGACACACACACAACACATGGAGGGATGCACGCTTGGGATTATAATGAGAGATAAAAACAGGAACACGTGGACTAGACGTGGAATTAAACATCATATCTACTCTGAAGAAATGTAAGTGGGCTTGGGCAGGACACATTTGCTAGGACAAGACAGCGGACAGAATAGCGGCCAGAGCGAGAGTAGTGAGAGGATGACCGCCACAGAGATGCAGCGAAGCGATTAGCTCGCGTGCAGGAACCAGATGGACTATGGCCTTGTCAGACCATGGGGAATGGCAACGACGTGGTGAGGCCTTCATCCAGCAGTGTATTAATCACGGCTGCAGCTACTGCTGATGAAAATCAAGAAGAAGTTTGTTTGATGTCACTCTGACAATTGAACAATCACTTGCAAGAGGGTACATTGGGGCATGGTGCTAGTATCTTGCAGAATGTTGATTGAAACATCGATGAATACAATTTAGCAAAAGAACATTTGATGGAACAACTGACTGTGTAGGGCATGTAATACTTTACCCTTGCCCAATGATTCGATGAATTGTCACAATTCAATGTATTAATACATTTACATACTTAATTTAAAACATGTTTACCATCTCATTTGTGTCGTCTCCTGTTTATTCCGTCTCAGGAGGTCTTCTCCACAAATCTGGCTGTCGCCTGATGAAGCTAGTTGTAATTACTGGCGAAACGTCGTACTCAGATTGTAAATGTTGTGGCTTGGCTCTCCAACACACCGGTGTGCTGTACTAGTATACTACACTATATACTACACTATACACTACTACACTATACACTACACTATACACTACTACACACTACACTATACTACACAAAACACTATACACTTGTGCTGTACTAGTGACGAATTGGTCACGTTCTGTTTACGTGACACCTTTACTCGTTGGCTGTGTTGGGTGGTGGCGGGTTGAACGACACATTTAGAAATGTACACGATCTAACCCAAAAAACCTCTATTATTGTTCTGTCTCGTTTGTGCAATTTTGTTTTTGCTCGTTGAGCCCAAATGTGCCTTAAGCCAGATCACTTGCATATGAACAGCTTCAATAAAACAAAAAATTCTCAACACGCGCAATTCGACACACATAAACGTGATAGAAATAACCTATTTAAAATTATTAATCAATGCGCTGTCACAGCACCTAGACTAGAGTGTGTATGTAAGGAAAGATGGGAGAGTGACGTACGAATCAACGTGGTTTTCAAAGGAAAGGACCACGGGGTATGGCGAGGTCTTGAAGGCAGTCTCAGCGATGGCATCGATCACCTCCTAAACACACAGAAGCGAGGACGCAGCCTCAATCAGCTAGAAATGAGAACAGCAGCAATAGCTGCAGCAGCAGTAGCAGCAGCACCGAGTCTTCAAGTCGAGCACTCTCTACACATCTCACCTCTACAGAAACCTGTTCTTAGTATTGATATTTATCTAACCAGGATAAAACCAATGACAACCACATCTCATTTCGCAAGGAGGTCTTGGCGAAATGGCAGCAATACAGAACTTCCCACCTTCATTATTCTTAACTATTCAGTTCCCCAAGAAGTTCCGAGTACATGGGAGGGAAATGTCGGACATGGTTCCCAGCAAACTCGCGTTAAAACCAAAAAAGAAACGATTCGAACAGCGACACCACCAAACCGACCCGAGTCGTACGACACAAATGCAATCCGTATATCACGCTGCGCGGAAGGAAGACGCAGGAGTGCGGGGAAACGGGGACACCGCCACACCTTGAAGGGAATCTCGGTGGTCATGGTGAAGCCGTGGGTGATGATGGGGTCCTCGTCGGCCGTGCGTCCCTTCCAGCAGTCGAGCTCCACGCAACGGCACCCGGCGAGCAGGGACTGGCGGTACATCTCCACCGACGAGTTGCCCTTCAGCTGCCCCCCTGGGACAAACACGGACCCTCCACTTTGTTACCGAGCAGCGAGAGACGAGGTGCCTGCGTTAGGCAGCGGCACCACTTGTCTTGCCGTCGCGCTGATTATCGACAAGCGTGACATGTACGCACAGGCACCCATACTCATGCACACATGTAAAGACGTACACAAGACAAGTAACTCCCGTATAGCCTCAACTGACTCTAGAGGAAAGTGCTGTCAGCGAGCAGGACCTGTAAAGCCTGGCGTGGCACAAAAGGGGGTGGGTGGACAGCACCATGCCTGGCCACCTTTGTCTAACCTACTATTGATGTTGACACACCGCACCAGATACTTATTTGAGGCTCAGTCAACCTAAGGGAGACCCAGGACCAGTTCAGATAATCGTCATTAGTGTTGGTAGCCGTTGGCAGGAATTAAACTCGGGTCTCCAGGTTCGCACACAGAGCCATAAACAAGTGGCATAGCCCTCTAGTGTGCAGGCAGTGCAATTGCTCGGGCACCAGGCTACAGTGAGGGGGTGGAAGGCAGACAGGGCAGACTCAGATATCCCCTTGTACCAGGGCCCACGCCGCTTGCTGCAGAGGTTCGCGGTTCAAACTCAGCAGCCGCCCTGGTTGATACTGCATGCATATGAACCATAAGTACACATTGTGTCACCGTGGATGTTAAAGATCTGGTAACGTAAGAGAACAGACTATGCGTGCATGCTTCACTGGGTCAAATGTCAAATTAAATCAATAATTTACCTAAATTAATTGGGGTAAAAAACAACATAGCAACATCGGCCCCTACTGGCAGGTTAAAACCTCTTTGTAGTCCACCTTGTGCCACACAGGGACAGCTGCCACCTTGGGTAACTCTTGACACGGCTGCAGCAGGGGATTGTAACGAATGAGATGTACGATGTAAGGTGCTATGGTTGCCGAGGCATTAAAGCGTCATGTAAATGCAAGTCCTTACCCGTGAGGTAGGTATTGTGCGACGAGTTTATAAAGTAATGAGACAGCGGCTGAGTCATGTCCTCGTTCAAATCCAGCTTCTCTGGAGGGACAATGCCATTCTCCTCCCCGTTCAGGTACCGCAGGAAACCCAGCACGGAGATTTGGCCTGAGGAGGTGAAGGTGGGGAGTGGTGGGGAGGTGAAGGTGGTGAAGGTGGTGCAGGTGGGGTGGTGAAGGTGGCGAGGTGCAGGTGGGGAGTGGTGGGGAGGTGAAGGTGAAGGTGGTGAAGGTGAAGGTGGTGCAGGTGGGGAGTGGTGGGGAGGTGAAGGTGAGGTGGTGAAGGTGGGGAGTGGTGGGGAGGTGCAGGTGAAGGTGGGGAGGTGCAGGTGGGGAGTGGTGGGAGGTGAAGGTGAGGAGGTGCAGGTGAGAAGTGGTGGGGAGGTGCAGGTGAAGGTGGGGAGGTGCAGGTGGGGAGTGGTGGGGGGGGGGAGTCGTGGGGGACAAAAACACAGGCAGAATTAGGCCCTGCTGTCAACCCCACGGCTCAAGCACAGTAGGGCACATTCCATCACGGGGATGCAATGTGGCACAAAACAACAGGACACCACTGAGAGACCAGTGGAATGTTACTCTGCAGTGGAAACATACTCGATTTATTTCCTTATAGTTATGGTTGCGGCGTGGCTGCAGAACAGGTTTTGCAACATCCGGGAAAGTATAAACCTTCCTATGTTTATGTGCAGTAGAATGAACAAAAATAACCTACCCTGGACTTTACAGGGCAGTCCTTGCTCACCAGCCAAATCCACATTAACTTAAAGTGCTTTCGTTTAACCTGTTCTTTTTTCCCCTTTAAATGAGGTTAATATTCAATATATTTATTGCAAGAGTGCCCGGGCTTGAAGGCTGATATTATAATTGCTCAATAAACACTGAACAGGAGGTCCCATGATATAAATAGAAAAGTTCACAGTCAACACAAAGACGCATCAAACGTCACTATCATTCGAAGAATAAAGTGAGCAGAATAACAGGCGGGATAAAATTACTTTGAGAATACATGAGAAGTTTTGTTTTTACCCTCATGTTTTGGGTACTTACATTACAAATAAGTGTTAGTGACATTCCATGTCATTTATTTGCCTCTTTCCTCACCAATGTATGACAACCGTGTCACTGATGCCATGGTCATTAGACCAAATATAGCCAAATTTCCATTCGGAGTCAAAATTGTGGCCATTTTAATTTAGACAGCAGCAGGGAATGAGACAACTGTACACGAGTTTCACCCTGATTAGGAATCATCAGTGCAGTAAAGCCCTCATTGCCTACTGCTGTCGTATGCCGATTGGGGCTCATTCAGAGAACAGCACCTGAGAGATGGCTTCCTAAAACTACCGGATTCTCTGGATTGCCAAAAGTTTGGCGGTGCGTCTTACTTCAAACAATTTTTTTTTTATTTTACAAGGTAAGGCCTACTGAGCTATATAGCTCTTTTTCAGAAGTGACCTGGCCACAAATGATAGCTCAACGAAGTGGCGTATTACATGTACATTTATAGCAGCCAAATACTCTAAATGCATGTTTCTAAATGCGAAGGGTAAAACCAGAAGACCAGGAGAAAAAATCCACGCGACCACTGGGAGAACACGCAAACTCCAAATATACAGCAGGCGTCAGGGTAGGGATCGAACCCACGACCTCCTGTATACCAGGCGAGGTAATTAACATCTTGCCCCTTTTCAAAGCGTCTTAAAATATGGAGAATACGCAGGTTTATAAGTCCCTTCTAAAGACCTAAATCTTTAAATCCCACAACAAATAGTGTGCTTTGAAGCATGGCAATAAATCCAATACTTATAACACGCTGAGCCGAAATAAGCTGCAAAAAGTGAAAATCCAAATATAATGTATTTTGTTTTGCAGACATTGCTAACTACACTGAAAGCATAAACTCACTGCAATTGAGCGATGGGTGAGCGTTTATGGCAGGGAAAAATAAAAAAATAAGACGTTGTCAGGTTCGTCGGTGAGAGGTCTTGAAGGTCATGGTGAAAGGTCGTTAAGATTGCGGGACATTACAACATCCCATATCAAGCCCTGGCCAATGAATGGCCATAAACAAGTGTGGTGTTTGTGTAAAGTGTCACTGTCATTTTCTGGATGTTGCATGTATGCTGAACTTTTATCGCACTGTACGTAGCCAACTGTGCTCATCTTGTAGATGCTCACATATCCGACCTTTTCACATGTCCGCCTATACCGCTGTCCGCAGAGTCAGATATGCGTCATTGTACTTTAGTAAATCAAGGGCGGCTGAAACTTGGATTCAAACCTAGGATATCAGTGGTGCAGGTTCAATGCTACTGACATTGTATTCGCCACCCCAGAGCTAACTGGCCACCGATGAGCATATTCCCACAGTGCATACATTATCAGAGTTATGTTTTTTGTTTGCATTATGACCGCAGGTATTGTGGTCTATGCAAACATGACTCCTTGTAAAAGGTGTCAGTTTTGTTGCCAGATAAAAGGGTAAAAAACAATTATCATATTTTTTACTGGAAAATGAGGTTCCAATGGCATATTCCCACCGTTAAGAATCACGGGCAGCGGACAAGCGACGTGTGGAGGGGCACGGGCGACAGGGCGGAGGGGCACGGGCGCACCTTTCTTGGCGAGGTTGGTCGTCTCGAACTTCTCGATGAGCGCCTGCACCTGGTGGGTCTTCATCGGAGGGAAGAGGACCTCGTTGAGACGAGGGTCGCGCTGCTTGCTGTTGATGAAGTCCGTAAATTGCTCGACCGTCATGTAGGGCTTATTTTTGGCGCCGCTGGTTAAAGAGAAGGAACAATCGTGCTGCTGTTGATTCATGGATGGACGTCGGTTTGTTGTTCCGACGTCCAGAGAGTTAGTACGAGCATGAGCAATACACCAAAGATAGTCCGTGCAGGTTTCCATGCCGAAATGCATACGTTTATCTTTTGAGATGGTGTGACCCAACCTGGAGAGTGGGTATGAACATTTAATACAACAATTGAATGAGCTGAGATTACTCGCTAGAAATTAATATCAATAGAAGGCTGAAACACAATGTTTTTTCACACCATGATTGATGTATTGAAAATGTCTGTCCCTCCATTTGGCTTTTAACTCCAGAACTAAAAGAAGTACAAGCCCCCCCCCCCCCCCCCCCGTGCACAGCTGTAGTAGCCAGAGTACAGTATAGCAAAACATTTAGCTTCAACTGCACTCTGCTGTCCCCCACATCACCCCAAAGCCGGCTATTGCAACCTGCTGCGCCTGGCAGTAGCCGATCCACGCGCTGCCCGCACTCATATAAACCCTGATTAGCTTCCGGGATGTGACGAGATGTCAGGCACATTCTGGGTCATCTGGTCAAAGGCCGAGTCCACGCGCTCTGGATTATGAATTTGTTTAGCTCCGCGCAACACAGCGGCGTTCACCTTTCGGCGAAGATGCTGTCTATGTCGGTCCTGGGGCAGAGTTTGTTGACGAAGCTGTAGAATGCCTCGTATGTGAACTCCGCTAACGGGATGTTATCGTTCTGCAAGAATGAGAAAAACAAACATCTTCTGCTTGGACTGCGCACATACACGTGCGCGCGGATACACACACGCACGCAGATGCATGCACACACGCACGCGCCCGTGTGTGCGCGTGCGTGCTCCGTGTCTGGCTCCGCACAGCATCCACCGCCGCTGCCCCCCTGGGTCTCGTTAGGAGTGTGCCACACGGAGTCGCAATCTTGCCAAATTCAAGATGTTCATGATGCCTGTGCACGAGATATTTTAAACAAAAACACGAATATAAAACTTCATTGCGGCAGATTCACCATGAGACGTGAAAACACCACGTGCTTTTTGTTTTTACTCGTTCACACGTTTGTGCTTGTGTTGAAATTATTCAGCAGGCCAATTTTTGTTCCTAAAAAGAAACATTTGACAGATTTTATAATCCACATTGTTTTTTTTTACTTTTGATACTTTTATTCCAAAGTTATGAAGATTTTATTTTCAAAATAATTGCGTACTATTCAACGATCCAAGCTGTTGAATAAACGAATAAATTAGCACATTAGCCCATCTGACGACCTGATTTGATTAGCTTTATCAGTGGAAGATTAGAATAAAAAAATTGTCATTCTGTCGACACGATCTAACCAATAAGGCACCAATTATGAAAAATAAGCCGATGCATAATATTAACTATCGGCTCCATGTCATTACGAAGAAATTTCCAATCAGAACTCTTGCAGTAAGCAGTGCATCACCCCGAGTTAGAGGATGGCCCACAATAGGAAAAATCACAACCACTGTACGTCATATTCCCTCAAGTGACTTATAATCCTCAGAGAGAAATTTGTCAAGGCTAGAGTTTGCAAAATTGAGGGGGGAAAAAAACACCCATTGACTGAACTATGCCCATGAACGCAAAAAACGTGAGAATTCAGTGTCATCAATAAAGGCTGAATCCCGGATCTAAACTGAGGAAATCAGCTGTGTCAGCTCAGCGCTGATTCCTCGCGGAACTGTTTTAAAATCCAAGAATACGAATTCATGAACCGAAGTATTTATTATAAATTCTACACCACTTACAAAAAATGTCATCATAAGTTTCCCAAAGTGCCTACTGATTGCTGAAATGAGAGAAACGGGCTTAATATATTTCAAAAGTTAAAAAAATGTTTTACGAGTCAAATAAAACACGTGATGCTAAGCCGAGGCTTTATTGCTGTGCTTTGTGTGTGACTTTAACTCCTTAATAGGCTTCATAAATCTCAGGAAACACCGAGAGCGAAACTTTTAATGGAGTAGAACAACGAGCCAAATTAATTAAATTCACACAAAATCCGGACAGACAACTCTTGAAGATGATCCCCCCACCTCTCCCCGCGGACGTGGAGTTGTTCCTAATCTCAGCCGTTGTCCCATTCGCATCCACGTGGAACATTATGCTCTGTGTGCACGGAGAGAGAGAGAGCAGTGGTGTGCACCCTTTGGTGCAAACCACTGCGCCGTCGAGCACACCGGTCTATCCCCTGTCCTCATACTCTCCCCACCAGCGTATCGGGTTTACTTTTTAATTAAACAATTCACACATTCCTACATTGTAATTACATTCGTAAGTAATTAACACCTAAAACAATTAGCTGAGAGCTAAAAACTAGAGATGACAGCCGTAAACTCTAGCGATGTCACGTGCACCCCCGCAGAGATGTCTCACATACCCCCAAGATGCCACGCGCACCCCAAAGAGATGGCACGTGTGACTACTAGAGATGTCACGTGACTACTAGAGGTATCACGTGACTACTAGAAGTGTCACGTGTGACTGCTAGAGGTGTCACGTGACTACTAGAGAGGTCACGTGACCACTAGAGGTGTCACGTGACTGCTAGAGAGGTCATGTGACTACTAGAGAGGTCACGTGACTACTAGAGGTGCCACGTGTACCCCTGAGAGATGTCTCGACATACTGCTGGGTCGGGGACCACGGAGCCAGAGGAAGGGTGAAGGGAACGTTGCCTTACCCTTCCAAAAGGAAGCGCACAGCTCATCAGAGCCATCTCCACCTTCTTCTTGTCCGTGGGAAACATGCGCAGAATGCTACACAGAGGAGAAAGGGAAACACAAATAAATTCAGCTGCAGACGCTGCTCCGTTTGACATGCAGACGGCTTTCACCACCAACGTTATGATTCATAATTAATTTTAGGGTCCGATTGCATAACTGAAACGTGTGTCGTAAACCCCCTCTGCCTGCACAGTCAATTAAAAAAGCTGGCACGGAAAAACAAGACGTGGCCAGTTTATCACTTTTTCAGCAGCAACACCGGTGCATTGTTGGAGAGTGATCTCACCGCATTTAACAACTGGGTACCCAATTGTTTTACATGACGCACATTATTTGTGCGACCAGATCCAAAAATGTAAAACACATTTGTAAATTACACTGCAATAAAAGTACAAGTATTACCGGGGATGTTTTGGCCAATGCTCCATCTTTAAAGCAAAGAAGGATCCTTCTTTCTCTCTGTTATGAAGAACAATATCCCTAAATGTTGCCTATTATATATATGTTTTCCTGTGTTGAATGTCTGCTGTTTGCGTTTGCGCACCATTGCCAACGATGTATCAAAAATGTGTCCTTCAATTTTTTGATTTAAAAAACTTAACGTTTCCTGAAATAAGGTAAGCTCAAATAATCAACTCATAACGGAAGCAAAGGAAACGGTTTAGTATGTTTTTATTAAGCAATTATTAAACAGAGAAATGTCTGTATTGCATTATTGAGTGTTTTCCAGTTTTGAAGAGAGGATTTACCTTAAATGTCAACTACAGTCAAGGCCGCGCACGACCAGAGTGGGGGATGGCTGTCACATTCCATGTTTTCACATTCCACCAATCAACACAAGCTCGTAAAACATCAGCAGTGAGCATTGCGCATACTCTTTGCTTGATTCACAGGATACATTTATGCTCTAGCTACGAAGCAGTATAATTGTCCAAGATAGGCTATAAACAAGAGGTCAATGTGAAATGAGATAAACCTTTTTTTTTATTTTACCACTAAAGGCCCACTGAGCTATACAGATCTTTTTCAGAAGCGACCTGGCCACAAATGATAGCTCAACGAAGTGGCTTATCATGTGGATATTTATAGCAGCCAAATACTCTAAATGTATGTTTCTACATGTGGAGGGAAAAACCAGAGGACCTGGAGAAAAATCCAGACGACCACGGGGAGAACATGCAACTCCAAATAAAGAGGCATGAGGGTCGGGATCGAACCTACGAACTCCTGTATACCAAGAGGGGTAGTTAACATCTCGCACGATTGGGCCACCGTAAATAGTGTATATATCAGTTGAACACGTCGGCTTTCGCGACCAATATTATTAATAATTAAGGTTTTGTGGGTTAGATCGCGAAAGTATAAATTAACAATTGTAAATGTTGTGGATTTACTCTCCAACACACCTGTGGGCTGAAGTAGTCACGAGTTTGCACGCTGTTTACGTGACAAACCCCTTACTGGCTGTGTCGGGTGGTGGAGGGTGACGACACATTTATACTTACGCGATCTAACCCAAAACCCTTTATGATGAGTGTATATATCGATGACCACCATGGGTAAAAAAGTGTTATAAAGCTGCTGCCAGGACACGTTGGGGCAAGCAGGGGGCAGTGTACATCTATCCTTCCCACCTTTACCAGCTGGCACATGACCAGTGTGGTGATGGAGGGTCAAATATCCCTCACGGTCCGCATTGTGTGCTGCACTAGTACTTGATTCCCATACACCCCGAGTTTCCCAACAACCCAAATGTTGTCATGAAGGATGCTAAGACTTCAAGAGAGCATTTGATTTGTGGATACATGCGCCCCTCATCGTGCACTGTGTAGAGGATCGCAGGTAACGTGTCAGTAATGACCAGACATGGAGGATATTGGATCATGAATATCTAATTAACATACACGCAGAGAATCGTGGGAAATGAATATTTGCACTATCAAAGTAATGAGGGCTCGGGGTGAGCATCTACATCATTAGACCTCCTTGGCCAGTACCAAAATATGAGCTGTACGCCTTTTGGAGTCCTCTGGTCGAGCACCAATTGGGTTGAGGCTCAAAAGAAAGTCGTCCCTTGGTGTGGACCAATCAGTTTCAAGGACAATGCATATATTATCATAGTGTGTTTTTGTTTGCATTTGACTGCAAGTATTGTGGTTAATGCAGACATGAATCCTTGTAAAAAGGTTTCAGTTTTGTTACCAGAAAAAAGGAAAAAACTCTATTATTATATTTTGGTACTGGCCAAGGAGGTTTAATGATGAAATTAATATTTAATTAAAAAATATGGAGGAACCTGAATCGCAAACTATTCGGCGTAATCTGCAACCTTTCACTCCACGTGCGAGGAACTTCTGCAGGAACGTGAACTTTTCAGAGCTATTCCGAAACATTCAGTTCCTCAGGAAGCTCCCAGCAAATGGGGCGAACCTGACACTGCTGATTAAACCCTGAAGGTCAACTCTGGTCCAGACTTTGCCTGCTTAAACAAATGCTTCAGGGGAAGATTGGTCTATAAGGCCAAAAGACCAATGGGCTATATATATTAAATTCAAATGGAGAAATGGACTGCAGTTCATTTTACTAATATATTTTTCAAACAGACTACCTGTAGTCTGTGCACTGCAGCGTAAATTTGCTGGCCATGGTGGCAAAAATAGGTGGCAAAACTTTCAACGGTACCAATTTCATTACATGGCCAATAGAAGTGAATTCATGCGGCAGCCTAATTATTTTGGGTATCTTAGAACTAACACTGTATATAGATATAAAAAAACCAACTAAGTTACGCCACCTTATATGGAAACGAACAAGTGACATTATCTAGTCGGGGCCTGTGAACTAACTCTGGGTATGGCGCTCAGTTGCCGACCGGCAGATAAAGACGTCTGGCAATTTCGATTTAAAGCTTTCGTGACTGCAGGGATTCATCTTCGTGGTTCTTTCGGTAAAGTCACGTGACTTTACCGAAAGAACCAAGAAGATGTCTGGCAATGTTCCGTAACGGCGATAAATGCACAAAACAAATTGCAACAAAAACGCTAACAAAATTAAAAACAATTTATTTAAATCCCATCTTACACTTGAATACAATTTTTGGCCACAGATGTTGTCATTAACTTCCTTCTTGAACTATGCAAGAATTTTCACAATGCGTTCCTAAATGAGCCTCATCAGCAGTAACAGTGAAATAGAATTAATATGCTAATTGCCTTTTAATGCTTAAGCAGCTGTAGTGAACAGTAAATTGCTCCGAGCCTAGAACAAATCCTCTTACCATACATAAAAAAAACAAATCACAAGTACTCCGTGAATACAGCCTCACTCACCTTCTGACTGGCAGTTTATCTTCAATTTTCTGCAGTGTCAGTTTTGTGTATCTGCCAGAAGAGAATAAAATGATATACGATTAGACACACCCCAAGTTTCTCAAATCCCCATGCACCAGTCCCACCCAGCAGTATCGTCAAATGCAGTGGTGGGCTGTGCATTTTACACATCGGCCTTCAGTGCTATCCTCCCGCATTTAAACCGCCTTCGAATAACCTCACAATGACACCCCATATTCATAGACCCAGTAACCTTTATCGAGTGGAATAAAGTGATTTAACACGAGGCTCAACACCTATGAGAGTTACAATACACTAATTGCAGAGACATGAATACATGGTGACTGAAACCATCAAGGATGTATCACTAGTACGCAGTATGACAGGATGCTACATCACAAATAGACATCGCATAGCCCAAATCAATGTCATTACCAAAGAAACAAGAACAAACTCACAACAACCAGTCACATTTACTCATACGACCACCAAGCAAGCAAAAATGCCGTAAAACACAAATAACACAATCAGGATTCAATAGGCTTCCCCACAGAAAAAAAAATACACTAATCTAAAATCTAAAGCACTACATCTAAAAAACTAAACGTCACTAAATAAAGTTTAAATAAATCTTAGATGATGCTACGTTACGTGCTAGCTAGGTTTACTTCAGCTAGCTAAGTGGCCCTCCGATCACGCCACACGAAATATGCTGACGTAGGCGACTAGGCCAGCTAGAAGGCTCCCGCGTGTCAAAGAATACGCCCACCATGGCAAACTCAACACCTGATTGCTTCAAGAATATGACAATCAACAACATCATCCCCATTTGCTTCAACAGCAGAGGGGATTCACTCGACATTCTGAAGGCCTCAGGATAATTTTTTTACCCGGAGAGGCGGAGACAGCACAGGTGGTATCGGGTAGCCGGGTACCCGTTTGCGACCCTGGTGCGGCCGGCTACGGGTACGGGTAAGGAATCAAAACCCGTTTGCGACCTCTGCCTGACGGCCAGGCTCTGGTCAAATGGCAGTTTGCGTGTGACGGGGTAAAGTGTGGGTTTACTCCCACTACCTCTAAGTTTTAACTATTTTTTTTTGACCAGGTAAGGCCCAATGAGCTATATAGCTATTTTTCAGAAGTGACCTGGCCACAAATCATAGCCCAATGAAGTGGCTTATAACGTGCAAATGTGTACCAGCCAAATACTCTAAAGGCATGTTTCTAAATGTGGAGAGAAAAACCGGAGGACCCAGAGAAAAATCAACACGACCACGGGGAGAACATGCAAACTCCAGATATACAGGAGTCAGGGTTGGGATCGAACCCATAACCTCTTGCATACCAGGCGATGTAGTTAACATCTCGCCACTTTGGCGCCCAGTGTGGAAGGCCAAAATACCCATCTACAGTTATCGCAAGTAGAAGCCCTTCACGTGCATCACCGCTCCCCATCCCCCCACTACAAAAAGACAAAGATCCTCTCCCCTATAGCCTTAACACACTGTTGAGGCAAGTGTTGTAAGCGAACAACCTGTGTCGGCACGGCACGAGGGGGTGGCGTGGTCAGGACCGCTGGCCGCCTTTGTCTCCCTAGTGGCTATCTGTACACACCACACCAGCTTCTCGTTTGTGGCTGAGTCAAACGAGGAGGGGGCAGGGGACTGGCTCATATATCGTCGGTCGCCGGTGTTGGCCATGAGCAGGAATCAAACTCGGGTTGCCGGATAAATCATGCGGCGTGCTAAACACAGCACTATCACTCCACAAAGACAAAGATCCCCCCGAAACTCTTTGTTTCTTTCGGTAAAGTCACGTAGATAGAAAAAACAACTAATAAATCACGACGTTTCGATAGCAACACGATAGCAACACAAGCCATCATCTGAAGACGATGGCTTGTGTTGCTATCGAAACGTCGTGATTTATTAGTTGTTTTTTATACCTACGTGATTTACCGAAATAAACAAAGAGTATGAATTCCTGCAGCCACGAAAGCTTCAAATCCCCCTTTCGCCTTAACAGACTGTTGGGGCAGCACACATAAACACGAAAACAAATATTAATCTCTGTACGAGTTTGTTACACAGGTGTGCACATGAGCATATGCGAGTGCACAGGTTTACATGCGTGCAACGAGTTTGCGCGCGTGCACATAGACGCACACACATATGGTGCCACCAATAAATCTACTCAAACGAGGTACTGAACATCTCTTTTAAAGGGACCTCTGGGGCTACCGTGAAGGCCCAAGGGGAAGGTCAAGCCTTGAGGAAGTTTTCAGCAACCGTGTGTGTGTCTTTTGGGAAGATGCTAGCCGCAAGTTATGTGGGAGCCAACACGGGCACACTTAAGCCGTGCACTGCATTCCTTGAAGAAATATTGCCTGTGTTTACTTTGGCTTCGCACATATTCCAAGACATACTGTGGAAATTACCCTAACATTCAAGCATGGCATCGGGGCTAATATTTTCTAGGAGGAAAAAAAGAGTGGGTTACATAACAGTCAAGGTAACGTGTGGGGTATTCTCACAATCTCGCATGGAAGAGTAGGCCAAACACCCTCTGAGCCGGATCTCTAGATCCAAAGGCTCTTCCACCAACAGTGGAGTGAGCAATAAATTACAGGGCTGCACTTCACCCTTCTTTTACATGGCAGTCACCGTGACATTTTAAGAATAGCAGAACATTAAACGACCCTGGTTATATAATCCGGTATGCATTTTGTCGACACGCATTCTTAAACACGACTGCCGAAACGTGACACTTGTCAAGGAATTGCGTTTTAGATAAACACGATAAAAAGAAGCACTTGAAAGTTTCCAATCTTAATACTTTTTTAAGCGATGTATTTACATAGTCAGTGAGGAATTTTAAGTCCGCGGAAATATGTGGGGTTGATTTATCTCATGAAAATGGCACTCCCAGATAAGGCCACACTATGGGACATCAGAGACATTGTTTTTATATTTACATATATTATTAGAATCAGGATACACCTGGAATGGGTGGAATTTCCTCCACACTACACCCTGGCCAAACATCTAAATTGTTTCCGATTTATACTGACACATTTTTCTTGTTTGGGTTCAAGAGGCTACCAATTATGATTTTAAGTTTCTAATCCCGGTATAATTAACTCCGTAATTATTTTTGTTTATGAATAACACATGCACATAATTAACATGTCCATTACATTCAATGCTGACGGTTGATTATTTCATGACAGCTAACTAAATTGTTTTGTTCCAAGTAACATTTGTATTTTCTACTTTCAATGTCATTATATAACTTTCCACTTGCACTCAGTCTCATGCAACACTGCCTGGCACACGCATTTGCTTGTCAATTCATATGAAAACGAGTTGGACAGCTTAACCCAGGAATGCATTTGCATTAATGAACACGTTTTCTGTGTGCAGGGGGTATGCTCAAACACTGTCGTGTTTTTTAAGTGTTTAGAATTAAACTACTAAACAATACTGCCTGTTAAAATAAATACAGATATGATATTTCCATATGCAGTTACCTTTTAGAATACAACCTACAGCAATTAAATATACACATTTGCATTGTATATACATGCGGTGGAACATCACAATAACCAATTAATTTATAATGAGACGTCATGTTTTCCAAATGAAAGCATTAGAATTTAATATTAAAATGAACCACATATTGAAACAATATATTTCCGAGTATTTTAGTTTTTTACGGAGTAAATTCCGGCCAGGTGACTCACAATCGAAAGGTTGTGAGTCCAAATCCTGGTTGGGGATCAACTCAGCCCATCACACCTCTAGGGTGAATAAAATCGGTATCACCTTGTGGGAAAAATGAACAGTTGTTGTGATATTCAGAGTCTTAACCCGACCACTGGCTCAGGACTGTAAGCGGAAGATGAGGACCGCCTCAATGCTCATTTGAGCAAGAAATCATCTTTGACCTTTTTACTTTTTAAAATTATAATGCAAAATTATAGTTCTGTCAGAGTAGTCTGCATGCTGTTTCTTAAGCAGTCTGCATTATAAAGAGATGAATGCATTTATATTAACACATTAATCAATACATTTATAAAACATGGAATGCTGTACAAGCGCAACTCACACTTTGTTCAAAAACTTATCTCGCGATGAGTTCTGTGCGAGGAGGTTTGTAGCCAAAGTGAAGAGTTCATCCGTCCATTCCTTCAGTAACGCGAGATGGGACAGTCAAGAGAGCAAACGCAGAGTATTAATGAAGAGGGAAAACATTCGCCGTGGATCAATAACATCTCAGCATTCTCTGACACTCCGCAAAACTTCACGTGCCCTGTCGAGATGACCCAGGCTACTTTGCAGCGGCGGCAATTTATTTTTTGTATCTTCCAGAACTGAATCCAACATTTCGAACGGACACTGAGGCCAAAGTTTTATTTTCCCATCAGAATCAATCACCGTCAAACGCCCTCGATGGCCTCGGCCAGGCTGCAGTGCCGCCGTAAATACTGTAAACCACACACACACACACTGTGCCACGCGATGTTGTGTGTTTGTTTTATTTACTTTGGGATATTTATTTCAAACTAAATTCCACTTGGGTGGTTTCAGTAAAGCTGGGCTCCGACAGTTGAAGAACGGAAAGTGAAGTGAGGAAGTGAGTGTGCACGTGAGCGATACAGAATATGGCCACAAATGTGAGGATGAACAGGTGAGCGAACACATAACCGAATGAGCAAGTGAGAGACCGAGCAGTTGCAGATAGCACTGGCGGGGGGCGTTGAGTGAGAGAGTAGGCGAGTTTATGAGCTGGCGCAGATGAGAAAACACTTACGTGTGAGAACAAGAGTGAGGAAGAGGCGGGTGGCATCGCTATCTTAATTCCTCTCACCAATTCCAAGATCATCTCCCCCTCTCCCCTCCCCACCCCCACCTCACCACTCTCACCTCACTCTGCTTCCTGAACTTGTTATGCTCCAGCAACCAAGGGTTCAAATAAAAAACCTGTCCATAATTCCCTTCTCCTTTTTAAGTCAAGGCTCAGGACCTCTACTTCTCCTGCCCATATGACTGTATCTCTCTCTCTCTCTCTTTGAGGTGTCTTTCTATTCACTTTTACTATGAGCTGTATATGGATCCAAATTATATTGGATTGCATTATTCACTTTAATTCTATCCTCATTCCCTTTTCTAATTAAAAAGAAACAAAACGTCTTCTTCCCCTGCTGGAGACAGGCAATGTTTAGCTCAATGTGCGCCGCGCGATGTGATGCGGTCACATTTAGAGACGCTTCACGAGCCCAAATCGAGTGCGTCAGTGACGGAGCGAGGAACAGTCAAACGGCGAGGAGAGTCCGAGGGCCCACCTTGGCCACGGACTCGGTCAAGGAGGTGAAGTTGAGGAAGGAGATGTTGACGAGGTCTGGGCCGTGCACCACAGTGATGGTCCGGCTCTCCATTCCGACGCCCGTGAAGCCCTCCACCTGGTCTCGGAACTTGGCGTCCTACACAAGGGCACAATGCACGTCAGGCAAGAGGAGATATTAGTTCTCTTAGGGCAGAGTCGGTCATGTAGCAGTTAACGCGCTTGCGCTGCGAACCCAGTGATCTGGGTTCGATACCCACTCACGGCCAACACCAGTGACGATTATTTCAACTGGTCCTGGGCCTCCCCTGGGTCGACTCAGCCTCAAATGAGTACCTGGTGTGGTGTGTAAACATCGCCACTGGAGAGACAAAGGCACCCACTCCCTCGTGTGCCTTTCCGGCTTTCATAGGTGCTCGCTAACAGTACTTGCCCTAACATGAGGAAGCTTTAACTTTGGTACGATGTTCATAATCGTTAAAAACACTGCCTTGAAAGGGGAAAAATATATTATCGGTGACGTTTGAGGCAATGTCCCTTCTTTATAGCGCTGGAAAAAGTGCCATTGTCCAAAATGTCACCTGTTAGACATGTTGTTCCTTTAAAGGCCACGCAGTGCTCTTGATGAATGTGCCAAGGCGTTTGTTACGAGTGTTTGTGCAATCGTGTTCATGGCCCAAGATGTGATTAATTAATTCTGCATTGTACCCACAATTTATTTGCTCATTCTTTTCGAGCAGTTTGCCCGATAGTGTGAAATCAGCTTGACACGTCGGCTTTCACGACCGATATTATTCATAATAAAATTTTTTGTTCGTTCCAAAATCGCCCGATGATGCTGGTTGATGTAATTACCAGCCAAACGTCACAGTACTCAGAGTGTAAATGTTGTGGATTCTCTCTCCAACACTCAACCGGTGGGCTGCAGTAGTAATTAATTGGCAGGTTTTGTTTACGTGGCAAACCTTACTAATTATATTCTTAGGTTTTTTCGGTAAAGTCACGTAGGTAAAACATAAAAATTAATACAAATAAAAAAATAAAAATCACGACGTTTCGGAGGCAACACAAGCTTCCGTTACTAATTGTCTGTGTCAGGTGGTGGCGGGTTACTGACACATTTATATTTATGCTATCCGACCTAAAAAAAAACCTTTAGTGTGAACCTAACCAAATTAGGGGTGCGACATTTGCCGCTTCACAAATCATCGCATCGTCTTTTTCCGTGTTCACCGTTTGATTCGACAATCAAATCTTGGTCAACATCGTGGTCTATGTCGTGGCCCCTAGTGGCTGGAGGGAGTCATGTGAACTTATGACTCGCGACACGTGTGAATGCATATGCTACATGCACTAAAGAATGGGTATTAAGCCATGACATAAAACATCATCGCAGCCTCAAACGTAATACAAACGAGCATAGTAAAGCATAACTGAACACGTAACAATCATCTTTACGAACCTGCTTCCGTTCCTCTATTAAACCCCATCCCTTCTCCCATGCCCATCCTACTTCTACTGCCTGCCCCGTCCCCCAGCTATAACCAGGCCTGCCCCAACCCCTATCACTACCCCAACCCCTATCACTACCACAACCCCTATCACTACAACAACCCCTATCACTACCACAACCCCTATCACTACCCCAGCCCCTATCACTACCCCAGCCCCTATCACTACCACAACCCCTATCACTACCCCAAACCCTATCACTACCCCAAACCCTATCACTACCCCAACTCCTATCACTACCCCAACTCCTATCACTACCACAACCACTATCACTACCATAACCCCTATCACTACCCCAACCCCTATCACTACCCCAACTCCTATCACTACCACAACCCCTATCACTACCACAACCCCTATCACTACCCCAACTCCTATCACTACCACAACCCCTATCACTACCCCAAACCCTATCACTACCCCAACTCCTATCACTACCACAACCCCTATCACTACCACAACCCCTATCACTACCCCAGCCCCTATCACTACCCCAACCCCTATCACTACCCCAACCCCTATCACTACAACAACCCCTATCACTACCCCTATCACTACCCCAACCCCTATCACTACCACAACCACTATCACTACCATAACCCCTATCACTACCCCAACCCCTATCACTACCCCAACCCCTATCACTACCCCAACCCCTATCACTACCACAACCCCTATCCACTACCCAAACCCCTATCACTACCACAACCCCAATCACTACCACAACCCCTATCACTACCACAAACCCTATCACTACAACAACCCATATCACTACCCCAACCCCTATAACTACCACAACTCCTATCACTACCACAACCCCTATCACTACCCCAACCCCTATCACTACCCCAACCCCTATAACTACCACAACTCCTATAACTACCACAACTCCTATCACTACCACAACCCCTATCACTACCACAACCCCTATCACTACCCCTACCCCTATCACTACCACAATCCCTATCACTACCACAACCCCTATCACTACCACAACCCCTATCACAACCCCAACCCCTATCACTACCACAACTCCTATAACTACCACAACCCCTATCACTACCACAACCCCTATCACTACAACAACCCCTATCACTACCCCTACCCCTATCACTACCACAATCCCTATCACTACCACAACTCCTATCACTACAACAACTCCTATCACTACCACAACCCCTATCACTACCACAACCCCTATCACTACCACAACCCCTATCACTACCACAACCCCTATCACTACCACAACCCCTATCACTACCACAACTCATATCACTACCACAACCCCTATCACTACCACAACCCCTATCACTACCACAACCCCTATCACTACCACAACCCCCCGTAACCACTCCCACATGTTCTCCTGTCACCAAAACTACACCACCACTTTTAATAACCCCACTCTATATTTTAACCACTATCATGTTATGCACAATTTTATAATCATTGTCAAGCGCCTAGATGAATCGATTTAAGAAAATAACATTTCCCCCATGCAAAATGTAATAAAGTTACACTAAGCTGCTTCTCTTGGGCAATAGTTAACTTGTTTAGACAGAAAATTGGCTTCACGAACAAACTAAACACAGCGTGACATTTACATCATCTGCACTTAAGAGTCTTGTGTAATCAAAGAATGCACTTTAGTGCTAAACAAGCAACATTCACAGGCAGCCAATGATGCGAGGTTCTCTCTCTTCTCATATCTGACCACTCTTTGTTCATGATCAGGTGGCTGAGGTGTCAACTGAGCAAGACACCTTAAGCCTTCTAACTTAATTTGCCATTGGCAATACTGTACTGCGAGCAGAAGTTATTTGACAATTTTAAAGAGCATCTACACATTAACCCGCTTGAACAGATAAAGTAGGCACATTACTACGCATCAATTCATTATTTAAAATAGATTACTACGGAGATGGTATGTGAATCATATATTGCGAGCAAGTATCCATTATTATTCACGCAAATTATATATGAATTATTACACACCGAAAGACCCAAAGAATATTAATCATGTTACATTTAGTCTTTTGGCCCGTACAGAACTGAAATAATGTGTTCTTTAATCAAATAGCGGCCCTAAACATGTGACAATTCCTCGACTCGATGTGGAATGGGGCAGTGAATCGGAAGAGCCCCAGTAAAAGTAATACGAGGACACAACAATGAACACAACGCATATTCATCTTCTTGGTTCTTTCGGTAAAGTCACGTAGAAGGGAAGTAATAAAATAATAAAAATAGAAGAATTCTTCACCTGAGGACGGCTGCTTGCGTTGTAGCCGAAACGTCGTGAGAATTATTTTATTATGTTTTATTTTTATTATTTTATTACTTCCCTTCTACGTGACTTTACCGAAAGAACCAATAAGATGAATCCCTGCGTTGTAGCCGAAACGTCGTGAGAATTATTTTATTATGTTTTATTTTTATTATTTTATTACTTCCCTTCTACGTGACTTTACCGAAAGAACCAAGAAGATGAATCCCTGCAGTCACGAAGGCTTGAAATCGAAATACAACGCATATTTATTTCAATGTTAAAATGTTTTAAACCGCAGGTACCGAGCGTTGTAGTGAAAACGCGCACACCGCGACAATTCACGGTCACGTCGCAGTGAAATAATCCCTCCAACAGGTGGCGACGTCACGCCGCCGGGTCCTGCACACGAGAGTGCGCAGGCAGTCCTCGGTTAACGAACGCCGCGCCTACGAACAAGCGGCCGTGAAAGATGCGTTGTTTTTTTGTTGTTTACATTGACTTCAAACGCGAACTATCACTTGCAAAATTTAACCGCGACACTATTTTGTTCGGCTGAACGATCCTCCGCGGGATGTAATGAGTCAGCCTCGTGCTGCGGGTGAGTGTTTGTGTATGCGCGCATTTAAATATACAGATTACCGTGCTCCGACTTACGAACCGTTCGGCTTACGAACGGGTCTCGGGAACTAATAATGTTCGAAAGTCGGGGACTTGTCGTATTTGTGCCTAACTCAAGAGGTAAATAAAACAACGTGGAAAGGTCATGCCATGCGCGCAAGGATTGTGGCGTCCCCCCCCCCCCCCCCAACATGCGTTGATCCTGCTGAGTGTTGAAGTGGCGACATTAACGCTGCTGCATCTCCAGCCTGACGACGAGATGGTGCGTGACGGACAGCAAGTCATCGCGAGTGCATTGCGTGCGTCCCTCCACCGGTCTCGCGCACCCGCCAAGGCGAATATTTGCTGTGCCGGTTTATTTTTCTTTGTGTGTGTGTGTGTGCCAGACGCTTTGGGAAACCCTTTCCTCAATTGTGGGCTGGTTTTCTCAAGGGCATAGTCCCGCATAGCAACGTAACTTCATATTGTGCTAAAGTGTTGTTCATATTAGATCATCTTTAGGATAGCCCCCACCTCCATCTCGTGTGAGAGAGACAGAAGGGACCAGAGGTGGGACAAAGTCATTGTTATGCAAGTCCAAGTCGAGTCTGAAGTCATCAAATTCATGACTCGAGTCTGACTCGAGTCCAAGTCACATGACTCGAGTCCACACCTCAGGAAGGGACAGACAGAGCTCATGTGCGTCAACAGAAGTGGGAAAGCATTACAAATGTAAGCGGAAAATCCACTACTCAGA